AAACAAAGTATCTAGCCTGGGAACTTCCCTCCTGTTACACAACCATGCCCACAATATTTGAGCTTCGTTTCAATGGATTACCACATAGATATCTTAATGAGAAATGTGTATGAGATTCTGAAATATAAAGAAGAACCTTGAATGCGAGAATGCGCGGTGCTGGAAACCGGAATTCAGTTAGTTCTTCAGCCAACGTTCTACAAGCTGCTAAAACCGCAGCGCACTTCACCTCGTCAGCAGACAATTCAGCTCCCTAAAACCAACAAACAAATAACGAAACAAAGATTAACAAAAAGTCCTCATGACAAATTCAATGAACACTATAAGTCAGATGGAGAGAAACTTACCAACCAAATAAATACGTCTGTGCCATGGTCAAGAAGAACAGCCTTATCTGATTGCATAGAGAGATCATACGCCGGTAGTTCCTCGAACGTGCCACCTTCTTGGTGCATCAAGCAACGTGGCGCCACCATTCGGAGAGACAGATCGAAAGATGCGTTCAGAAACAGATTCCGTAGCACCGATCTTTCATCTTCATGACCAATGATGTTTCCCAGCAGAGGACCTCTTCTAAGATGGAAGAGTAATTCTGGAAGGGAGGATAGTTCCTTGGGGAAGCTATTAAGTTTCGATTTCGGCACTTGCGATCCGAATTTCAAAGCTATGTCTTTGATTCTTTCGTCTACAGTAGCACGCATATCGACTGCCTCCTTCTGAGTTTTCGCCATTAGAAGAGTTCTCTTGGAGATGAGAACCGCAGCAGCTTCGTCCTCAACACTCTGAAGATACGCTGAGATACTATCCACAGTTTGCAATTTGAACGTAATCACCCGAGACACATCTGCTTGATAGATATCCGAATAATGGAAAGCAAACTGGAAGTAGACGTGATCGCTTTTGATGTCTCTCTTATTCTCCATCGAGAGAGAGAAGCTTTGCGTTTCTTCAACACTCAGCATCTGAATACAGAGAGCCGCATCGTTCTTAAACGCCTCGTGAGTTTCTGAATGCGCTTCTTCGCCAGGTCCAATCACCTGAGTGATAAGGATATCATCCGAACACCGAACTTCAAGCAGACCATGAGAACCCGCTGCTCTAGTCGCCGCCCTCTGCAAGTCCACACCAAAGGCTTCACCAAAATCATCGTGAAGAACCAAAACACCACCTGAAGCTTTTGCGAGTGGCTGCAGGACAGGAACTCTGAGAGGGCAAGTTCCAGCGCACAAGATGTCCACGACCGTATTGTGCCTGTGAGCTTCACGCCCCAAAGTCTCCATCCATTTAATGGCTGTCTTCTCCATATATGGATAATTTGGATGACTCATTGAGTGAGGTAGTGATCCAGGACCAAATGTAATAGGTCCACCAGCGCAAACAATGATTCTACTGTTACCTCCTGCTCTTCTGACCACTCCCCGAGACATTTCTGCTGATGGTCCTTGAATTATAGCCAGAGCAGCCTCAACAGCAGTTCCAAGGCACCTATCTCTAGATGCTTCAGGAATATTCGATGTGTATGGCCTCAAGGAAGAGAATATCTCATGTGCTACCTTTAGCGATGCATGCATTGGTGACAAGTATACGCCGGTCCCATAAATCAGCGATTTCATCGACTCTGCAGACGGTGATTTTGCACCAGAAATAACATCAGCTGAAGCTACGGATTCTTCAGAGAAGTCATATATCGAAACAGTACGACCATACAATATAATCCCAAGCCTAGTAGTCTGTGGAAGCGAGTCTACAAATGCATGCAAAGAGCTCTGCAAGTGCTGGAGGTGCGCTTCGTCTAAACACTCATCGATAACAAGAACGACAGGTGCAGAGGTCCGAGAATCAGAAGCAGGAACAAACCCAGGTCTCTTGTTCCCAGTCTGAACATAATCAACCAGAGGCAACGAAAGTTCCGGATAGATTCGCAACTCATCCTTGACCGAAGCCACGTATTCACCTTTACTATCGTTCATGCTCTGGCAGATGACGCACTGCCATTTCCCTGAACCAATTAATATGGAGCTATAGGGATTAGAATACGCTCCACAGTTGAGGCAGCGATGTGGTTCACGTTGGATAATCTGAGGACCAGGACTTATCTCCCTCCCTGCACTAACTATAGCTCCAAACCCCAAGCTAGCAACATTTGCTAGCTTCTTCTGCTTTAAAACCTACATGATAAAGTAAGAAACTAATCAACGGTGATGAACACAGATAAAGGAATTTCAAATAGCAAGTGAAATTGGGAGAAAAATACCTTATTTGCAGAGAACAAAACATAAGGTGAGTCTGCAGCAATAGGTTCCTCCATTCTAACAACATCTGGAAGATCACGCTGCGAACCAGCTGATGAGCCGTTTGAGTAGAAGGAAGGTGTAGAAACAGGCAGAGAAGAAGCCGTGGCCGAAGAGTATGCCATAGGCTGAGGAGTAGCAGGAGAGGTACGGAAAGGCACAGCAGCTGGCTTAACCGGAGTGCTAAAGACCGGAGGACCAGGCGGAGTACTCAAACGAGGAATGGGGCTTCCGGTTCTGATACCATTCGCAGGTGACAACAGATTCGAAGGTGAATGCATCTGATCAGGCCTGAAACTTGGTTGAGGATACCGAGGAGGTGTAGGTGAAGCTAATACTGGAGGAGAATGAGGCACTGGGGTTCTATCTGGCTGTGGCGATGGTCTATCTGGTTCTAAAGGAGTGAGAGTTCCCGGATAGTTCACGGCGGGTCTCTGCGGTAAGTTAGCCATTCCGATCCAAGTTTCTTCTACCTACAATTTCAATCGTATGAACAAATCAGGATCACAATCCACAATATGAACAATATCCAGCTCAAGAATCTGCAGAGAACTTCAACAACGAATCCTTATACTAAAACGCATGTAACTTGAAACAATCCAAAAGCAAAATCTACAGAACAATTGCGGAGCTATCCTTCTAACGCAAATCACCAGTTTTGTTTGATAAAATCAACTTACCAGTCGCGATTCCTATCACCGAGAATCTGAAATCCCGCACAAGTGTGTTTATCAGCTGAAACCCAGCTCGCCGCAAAAGGCAAATCACGAAATCAGGCACAGTATTTGGGGAAGCAGAAGCGAGGATGAGATTTGCGATACCCTAATCGGAGAGATGCTTAGAGAAATTTGGGGGAAGAAACTGTAGATTCGTAGACGAATTTTTGACTCGCATTGAATCTTAGCTTACGATCTCACACCAGTCTCCATTTCTCCTCTCGATTTTTATTTTCTCCCTTCATTTTCTTTAACTCGATCCGTGGCAGTATCGTAAATATATGAAATATTTCAACATGGAGAAAGAGATGATATTTATCAACCCAAAAATAATTAGATCTTCAAATATTTTGGTGGAATATTCTAAATAGCATTACTATTCCAAATTAATTGATTTTGTTCAATTTAGCATTAGAATGATTGGAGACTAATAATTGTAGATGAACAAACTAAATCTTTTTTTTCTAAGGCTGATGAGTCACCAATAGGTGATTACAATGAGAGATCAGCGAAAAGGCCATCAAGGAAAAAAAATGCATAACACACTTACAATTACAATAAATGTATATAGTGATGCATAAATTGTTAAGTGTTTTAGTAATGCTTTCCAATCGTTAGATGAATTCAAAGTCAAAGCATCTTGAACGTTATTCAATAAGATATATATCAAGTTGCAGGGCTTGAAGGATATATCTATTTACTTGATTATATTCAATAAGTGATAACATGGGTCTTAATACTTGTAGTTGTAGACGATAGTTGTTTCCAAACCATATACTTGTAAAGCAAGCGAAAAAAGAAACAAAGGAATTGAGAAAATAAAAACACCTTGAAGCAAGCTCCGAATGTAACAATACAATCGTTACACTGTTTTTGACATACAGTTGGCTTAATATGATTATTGGGAATGAAGACCTAGAGTTATATTTATAAAGTTTTAAAAGGAATATGGATAGGTTTGTTCGTAAGTGTATATTTTATCAAATTTTATCAATGAGAAAAGGACGATATGTACAATAACCGAGTTAGAATCTATCCAATAACAGTTTTATTTTAAAAAAAAAAATTAAAGTTATCTGAATTTAAAGATTAATAACGTAATTTATAAATTGGTGGCAAGAGAAAATAATTAAGAGATTATTCCATTAAAGATATTAAGGTTATTCTATTTGTGAAACTGAATGAGAATACTCCGTTTCCCAAAATTATTTAGCAAATTAATAGTATAATTAAGCTAAACTCTTGATTAAAAGATAGATTAAATCCAAAATATCACATTTATCTCTCAAAATTCAATTATGTACCTCTCGTTTGTCTTCTTCGATTCAAATTCTTCAAAATTTCTTCGAAAATGGAGAATCTCCAGGATGTAGATCCAAATCGCAAATTTATTCTCTACCGAACAACCATGTCCAACCCCTAGATTCATTAGACTATTAGAATATTTTAAAATCATCACTAATCAATTGGCTAAACAAGGAAAGTTTACCATCTCTTTGATCATCATTCACTTCACCCCTTATCAATGCAAATGTACTATTTATGTACTAAGCTGGACGTTTTCGATACATTTGGATTGGTGTCAATCAAAAGAGAATATTAAATTGCACATTTAAACCTCGTGTAAGTATCTATTTATCTTCCCTATCGGTGATTGATTGATAAAGTATATGATTATAGTTTTTTTGACCTTAATTATACAATAGGTTAACATTAAAACAAAATATATACCATAGTTTCCAATTTATCCCCAAACATGTTTTACATTCACCACATCAAAGAGACAAAGACTGCATGAGAAAAACTAAAAATGCAAGTCCAAATCTCTTTTGATAGCTTGTTCCATTCTCGCATGAGAAAATTGGTTTGCATAGTAGTAATTAAATAAAAAAATTAGTGCAAAACAGTGGACACAACAACTTAGTTCAAAAATTATTTTTGGAGGGATTATACGAACGAGAAATAAATGTTATTTTGTATCAATTTGATACAATCAAACAGAAGCACTCATGTGAAGTTGAACGAGAGAAGCATAAACACCACGTTCGATATTGATCAAAGCCTCGTGCGTCCCTTTCTCCGCGATCACACCGTTCTTTACCACGGCGATGACGTCAGCATTCCTGATGGTCGAGAGCCTGTGAGCCACCACGATGGTGGTCCGGTTCTTTATCACTCGGTCAAGCGCGTCCTGAACCACCCGCTCCGATTCTGCATCCAACGCGCTCGTCGCTTCGTCCAGCAGCAAAATCCTCGGATCTTTCACGATGGCTCGTGCAATCGCCACACGCTGCTTCTGTCCTCCCGACAATTGTATCCCTCTCTCTCCCACCATCCTATCGTAACCCTAAAACACCAAATACCAAAAGGGTTTTAGCTTGCGCAGTAAGTAATCACTCTGTTTCACTCAACAAGTAGAAAAATGTCTCGTGTTAATTACCTGTTGTACGCTAGAGATGAACTTGTGAGCATTAGCGAGCTTGGAGGCAGCTACGATCTCAGTCTCGGTTGCTTCTTCTCCGCCTTTCCCGTAAGCAATGTTGGCTCGTATCGTGCCGTTGAACAGAACAGGCTCTTGCCCTACAAGTCCCATTTGTTGTCTCAGCCATTTCAGTTGAAACTTCTTGAGCTCAACTCCGTCTAGAGTTATATGACCAGAATCCGGATCGTAAAACCTCTGTAACAACGAGATCACTGTAGATTTACCCGATCCACTCTCTCCAACCAAAGCAACAGTCTGAAATAAGCACAAGAATATAAACTGTTAAACAAGAATCTGCTTTATATAGTTTGTATGTTGAAGCAAAACACAAGATGATGTTACCTTTCCGGCACGAATGGAGAGACAAAGGTCACGGAAAATCTGAATGTCAGGTCTAGTTTGGTAAGCGAAGCTTAAGTGACAAAGCTCAATGTCTCCTTTTACGTTCTCCAACACCGTTCCGGATTCATCTCTCGAGTCTATCTTCGATTTCCTATCGATGATTCCGAAGATGGAAGCAGCAGCACTCTTAGCTTTACTTGAATCAGGAGCAAAAGAACTCGCTGAAGAAATACCAATTGTTGTCATCGTTAAAGCTAAGAAAACCTGCAAATTTGTGATCCCCCAATTAGCTTTACCTTGTCTGTCAAGTTTCATTACAGAGATGTCCAAAGAAGTTAATTAAAAAGACAAAACACCTGAAAAACACCAGCGTAGGTTGTCTTTCCGTCTTTGACCAATCTTGCACCAGCGTAGAAACAAGTAGCGTAGACAGAGTAAAGAACGAAGAAGGACACACCAAACCCTAATCCGGCGATCAATCCTTGCTTAATCCCGGACTTAATCGGATCTTCACATCGTTTCTTATACATGTCCATCACTTTCTCCTCCGCACAGAAAGATGCAACAGTTCTCATACTCCCAACTGCATCGTTCGCCACTTGACTTGCCTCCTCGTACTTTGTCTGCAAACGATTTCTTTCAGTATCTTCTTCAACAAGTAACAAAACCTAAAAAACTCATTTAAACAAAGAGAAATAAAACTAACTAACCTTAGCATCTGCACTGAAGCCTTTCATGAACTTAACTTGAACATAATTATTGATTCCGGTCAAAGGAATCAATATCAAGATAATAATCGATAACTCCCAACTCGCCACGAAAGCTATGATCATTCCCGAGACTGCGGATGCAAGGTTCTTGACTGTTAGAGCCAAAGAGTCGCCTACAAGAGTCCTGATCAGTGATGCATCAGCAGAGAGCCTCGCTCCCATCGCACCGCTAGAGTTCTCAGGCTCATCGAACCACCCAACCTCCATGTGAACAACTTTCTCAAAACACATTGACCTTATCCTCCGAATCAGTCTCCCTCCAGCTACAGCAAACAAGTACATATGCACCGGGTACACTATCAAAGAAATCACACCAAGAAGCACGAATATCATAGCCCAGTGTCTTGAGTCGTGCCTCAGCGCATGAGGCGGTTCGAAGAAAGTTGTGATTACTTTAGCGAAAAGGTACCCGAAAATGGGGAATATGGTGCCGTCCGCTGCACACACTATGGTTCCAAGTATGAGAATCGGAGTCTCCGGTTTGTTTAGAGCTGCGATTCGAGTAAGCGACACGTTTTTGGGTTGTTCTTGAGGCTTCTCAGTGTTTTCTTGTCCTTCGTCTTGAACGGAAACAGAGTCATCACCATCATAGTGCCTCCTACTGCTTCTTCTTGATGAGCCAATGCTGATTGATCTGTCGAACACTTCATCATCAGAAATACCCTCATTTGATTCTGTGTTTATCTCTTGTAACCTTATAAGCTGCGAATAAGCCCCTTCACTATCCTTGAGCAACTCAGAATGTGAACCTATTAAACAGAAGAAAAAGGAAAAAAGAGTTACTTGCAGCTCAATCAAACCTAAACTTAACCTAAAATATCAATTTTACCTTCTTCAACAATCTTTCCACGGTGGATCACAGCAATCATATCAGCATTCCTCACTGTGCTTAACCGATGCGCGACGATCACAGTAGTTCTGTTCACCATGACTCTATCTAAAGCCTCTTGAACAACTCTTTCTGATTCAGCATCAAGAGCGCTTGTTGCTTCATCTAACAGCAAGATCCTTGGATCTTTAAGTATAGCTCTTGCAATAGCAATCCTCTGCTTCTGTCCTCCTGAGAGCTGTGTTCCATGCTCTCCAACCATTGTCTTTAAACCAAGAGGCAACTTATCGATGAACTTAAACGCGTTTGCTAGCTTCGCCGCCGCTTCAATCTCTTCCACCGTCGCGTTCTCTTTCCCGTAACCGATGTTCTCCATTATACTTGAAGAGAACAGAGCCGGTTCTTGACTAACCAATCCAATCTTTCCTCTAATCCATTTCAACTGAAACTCTTTCAAGTCAATACCATCGACAAGCACTTGGCCGGAGCTCGGGTCGTAAAACCTTTCGATCAGACTGATCACTGTTGATTTCCCGCTCCCGCTTTCTCCTACCAAAGCAGCGGTTGTGCCACTAGGGATCAACAGAGAGAATCCGGCAAAGATCTGTTCTTTAGGCCTTGCAGGGTAGCTAAAATGCACATCTCTCAGCTCGATTTTGCCTGTAATATCTTCTAAAACCTTCCCATTTAGGTCAAAAGCATCAATCAACGGCTCTCTTTTAATGGTTTCAAACATTTTGTATGCTGCAGCTTGACCAGCTGCAAATGCGGTTAGACAAGGTGCTGCTTGCCCTAAAGACCTATCACAAAGAAACAGAACAAAAAACATATCAAAATTCTAAGTGTTTTAACTAACTTGAGACTCAAGAAACTGTCTATCATCTTTACTCACATAGAACTAGCGACCACAGTGATCATGACATCGATCACTGCACCACCTGTATACCCTTTTCTTAGTATCATCTCTCCACCAAACCATATAGCCAAAGCGTAGCTGCAGAAGAAGACCAAGAACATTATTCCAAAACCTAAACCCGTTGAGAAACCTTGCTTAACACTCGATCTATAGGCCGAATTTATCAACTCTTTGTAGCTACTCGTCGCTTGCTTCTCTCCCGTGAAAGAAGCAACCTGAAGAAATCACACAATAACTTGGTTGAATAAAGTTTTCGAACTTTTATTTACAAACAACAAAATAAAAAGGGAAAGGAAGCATTTTTACGGTTCGAATGGAGCCGAAAGTTTGTTCAACAACAGTTGATGCTTTGGCATAAGCAGCTTGTTCTTGAGAAGAAGCTTTGGTGAATATAATAGACATAGCTGCACCAGCCATGGCTATAAGAGGAATTGAGGTTAACATAACAAGTGTGAGTAACCATCCTTTCGCAAATGCTAAAGCATATCCACCCAAGAATGTTGAAACCAACTGTATAAGCTTCCCAACCTGATAAAAGTTTCGAAATTTTAATAATTTATTTCAATCTATTACAAAGAAAAAGAAAAGAAAAAGTCTCTCATGTTTTAGCGATTTTTGTTTTCTTTACCTTCTCACCCATAGCATCTAGTATAAGAACAGTATCACCAGACATTCGACCAATGACTTCTCCTGTGTTTGTTTCGGCATCGAAGAATCCAATGTCTTGTCTTAGAATCGTTTTCAGATATAAACTCCTTATTCTTGCAGCTTGTCTTTCCCCCGTTATCATCCAACAAGACACCTCTAAAAAACCAGGAAGAGAAATAACAAAATTGCTTTTCTTCCTTAGAAAGAAACTAAATTTATGAGCAATTCTCCAAAATGGACCATTTTAAAGATTTTATTTCAAATATAGCTAGACTATATACTTTTATCCAATAATAGACCAACATTCAACATAAAAATGATTCAAAACTTATTTTTAATAGACAAACCTAAACCATAATTTGGTGAATATGAACCCAAACATAATTTGTTTTTTTCAATTTTATGTGTAATTTATTTAGGGTGAACAAATGTTTTCACAAAATAATTTGGTCCATTTTTAGAAGAAAAAAAAAACTTATGGATCTAGAATACAACTTTTTGGATTTATATTTTGATAACAGTTTTTGTTGGTATTAGATTATATTTTTTATTAGTTTTCATTTCATTGACGTTAAAATAGGTTGCCAAAATTTACACTAAAGATATATACAACTGGGAAAAAACAATGGTAAAACGACATTTTATTTGAAAACGATGGAAGTATTACTATTACTTACGTAGAAAGGCTGCTACTAGCGTCCCAAGTCCAAGGTAGACAAACTTCAAACAAACCTAGACGAAGAAAAACCAAAGATAATGAATTTTTCACGTGGTAAAATAAAATAAACTTGAAAGATTGTTTCTTTATGGGTTTGATCTAACCTTGGATACCACGTCAACACTGTCCTTGTTGGTCAGGTTTCGACCAATCGTATCAATGAGATCACCAAACAGTAATGTCATTATCGGAAAACCAAGACCATTTCCAATAGCTCCGATCGAGCCAACGACCATCAACAACACATCTGTAGAATCTGAGAAAGAAAACAGTTTGTAGAACGGCACCGTCTTAATCGTCTCTTTGGTTTTCCCCTTCTTCATCTTCGTATGTGTGGGAGTTTTTGGATGATCAGGGCTTCTCTCAAAACAAGATTTGGCGATTATAGAGAGAATGACCCACAAGTATCAACGAAACAATGTCCTATAAAACACAACATTGAAAGATCCTAAAACATTCAAAAATAATGAAAACATTTTAAAATTTTCGTTTACTGTCTAGTTTTTTATTAATACCAAAATAGAGAAGGGATTCGATCGTGTGGATCAAGATATATATTATTAAAAAGATGTTGTTATTCGGTGAGATAAACAAAAAATTAAGAGGCGAACGTGTAGATCTTCTTCTTCTTTTTCTTTTGGGTGACAGCAAACTCAATCAATTTCATCATAACTTGCATGTAATCTTTAATTGCTTCTGTCATCTAACATTTCTGTCAGTCAGTTTATTTATTGTTTGACCCTAAATTTCAAGTAACATATATTCGTTTGAGAATTAAATACTTGAGACAAAATACTATAAAAAAAAATCACCATTTTTGTGTCATGGGGTCGACTAATTTCTGCATTTCCTCAACTCGGTCGTCGTGTATACCACTATTCCTTATTGTACCAAGTACATTATTAACGTTAATAGGGTATTCAAACCTTAAACATGCATAGTTTAGCGGGCCTTAAACAGACCTAATTAGTCGATTATAAAGAGGCTTTGTTATGGTCTTATGGACCTTTTGTTGTTGTAGAATTCAGAGATCTATTTGTTGTTTCTGGTTTTAGTGAATTTTTTAATTGGATCTTGGTGTCTTGGTGTAGTGATATTTTGGTGTGTCCCTCTCAACAAGTTGGCCGTAATGAACTTTACTTTCTTAAGGTTAGGTGATGCAAAAATTTAATTTTGGGTGGGTTAATGAAGAAAACTTGCCGATTTCATAATTCTGAGATGTTTTTTTTTTTTGGTATAATGTTAAGATTCTGAGATGTTTTTATAGATCGATAGTACTAATTTTGTATGATTCTTTAAAAAGTTAAAATTTTATGTGGTTTGAGTTCTGATCTCAAATCCTAACTGGGAACACGTCGTATATCCATTATCCAACAATTTTCATGTTCAAAGTATCAAACATCTAATTGTACACACAACCAATGAATCAATAATTGATTAATCAACCACATTCACAAGACAAACCCAACTTTTACTGTTAATTAATTAATACAGAAGAAAATAATGATACATGTTTAATCGTTTAAGTATTATAAAATTCATTAATCATCGTATGCAAAGCAAAGAACCATAGAGTAAAACGCATGCGGCAGTGGCTCACTTTCAACAATCGTTTCTGCACACGTGGCATGTGGGCTCCATGCACGAAAGCTTTAAGTTACTACTCAATCCAAACACCCAATCACACTTTTTTCCTCTTTCAAAAAAAAACTCAAACTTTTGTTTTGGAATTTTCCGTTAGCCAAAGAGAAAAAAAAACAATCTCAAATCTCAAAGCTTCTTCTGCCTTTTCGGCTTTTACGTTTTGAGAGATTCCTCATTTCTCGGGAAATGGAGAATCAACCTTTAATCAGTCCTCAGTCACGTTTCCGCCTCGAACCCATACCGGAAATTCCAGACCTCGCCGCCTCCTCCGTCTCAATCTCTCACTCAATCTCAACTACTTCCTTCTTCCAAGAGATTGTCCAACAACATCACCACGACCTCGAAGAATCCGAACTTAACGAAGACGACGACACAGACCCAGACTTCTATTTCAAAACTCGTCGCCCACTTCACCGATGTCGCACAGCTCCGGCGATGGTAATCGACCTAATCCCCAACAGAATCACAGAGCCCAAAAAGCCTTCACCAATCTCAAAATCGATCATCAAGCAAGCGATTTTCCTCCTCATCGTCTACTTAACCTTAGGCGTTTCAATCTATTCCTTCAATCGAGATCACTACTCCGGAATCGAGACTCATCCCGTAGTCGACGCGCTCTATTTCTGCATCGTCACCATGTGTACAATCGGTTACGGAGACATCGCTCCGTTGACTCCATGGACGAAGATCTTCGCCGTGGTTTTCGTCTTGTTCGGGTTCGGGTTTCTCGATATTCTCCTCAGCGGCGTTGTGAATTACGTTCTGGATCTCCAGGAGAGTATGATCCTCACCGGAATCCAGATGGGCTCGTCGACGCATCGCCAGAGAGCGAGATTCTCGGCCAAGGATTACATAATCGATTTCGAGAAGGGGAGGATGAGGATAAGGATGAAAGTCGGTTTGGCGCTATGCGTCGTCGTTTTGTGTGTCGGAGTCGGAGCTGTGGTTTTGCATTTCGTCGAGGAAATGGGTTTGGTTGATTCGGTTTACTTGTCGGTTATGTCGGTTACGACGGTTGGGTATGGAGACCAGGCGTTTAAGACCCTTGAAGGGAGGCTTTTCGCGGCGGCTTGGCTGCTCGTTTCGACTCTCGCGGTGGCGCGCGCGTTTCTCTATCTGGCGGAGGCGAGGATCGATAAACGGCATCGGAGAGCTGTCAAATCGGCGTTGACTAGAGAGATTACCGTCGATGATTTGTTCGCTGCTGATTCTTATCAACATGGTTTCATCAGGTAAAATTACAAATAAAATTCTTAACTTTTTTTTTTCCAAAAGATAGTCTCTTTGTTTATTTGTTTGAAAAAGGTTGGATTTTGATTAGTTATGGATCATTTGCTTAGAGTTAAGCGTGATCTTGAGCTGTTTGTGGTAATGGGTTTCTGCCATTCCTTTGAATTATAGGAGCTGAACCGATTCTTGAAGCTGAATAGCGTTTTCAATGTGTGACTGTGTTCAGATTGTGTAGGCCAGAGAGATTAAGCTTTAGACTTTTCTTTTAAAAGTATTGTTTCATATCTTATCCAATGATTTAATCTTCTGACCTCCTTTATGTTTTTGATTTTGGTGTTTTTTTATTTCAGTAAATCAGAGTATATTGTGTTGAAGCTAAAGGAAATGGGGAAGATTACTGAAAAAGACATTACCCAAGTTGGGAATCAATTCGAAAAACTTGATCCTAATCATCTGGGGAAAATCACATTACCTGATCTTTTAGGGGATCCTTTGTGACAAAAAGAAAGAAAAAAAAACATTTTCTATCTCTGTTTTTCTTTTTTTTTCCTTCTTTGTACAATTATTTCTTTTTTTTTCTAAATTAAGAAAAATAACTGAACATGTGAATCATACAAAGATTTATCTCTCAATTCATTAGAGATAATGATGTAAATGTATATGATTTTTTCATTGCTTTCAGTAAAATTGGTGACAATGTTAATACTCAAATGTCAAATCTAATAACCCAAGCAAATGGACAAGCGTTTTAAGATATTTCATATGAATGATACATTTTATTTGAGTTTGGTAAAATACAAAACATAAATATTGCTAATAAAAAGAATATCATGGAGATACTACTATTACTCACTGTGAGATCATGAGATCATGCGGTGCAAAAAGGCTCGAAAGTTGAGGCTTTTGTCTCTTGGTTTAGTAGAAACGTTGTTGACCAAGTATCCCATCCCAATCCATGCACAAATTTTGAGCATAAACTATTTGTTAATCCGGTAACATTTAGTTTAATATATTTTCATAGTTATCAGTCGATTTATCCTCCTTTGAAGATTCTGCTTTTTCATAGTTGTTAAACACAATTCATTATCATTACAATAATTATTACAAGAAGTCCGTGTTGATTAAGCACATTTTTATATGATGATTCAATGATATTAAGGATTTGGTTGGTGACATAAACAAGGATCCGGAAGATTTTAACAGGTTAAATGTTTATAAAGTTAGAAACCATAAAAAAAAAAAAAAAAATGTAGTGTATAGTTTGGCCGTTTTATCTTATAGTATGTTTTGTAAATGGTAACAACAAAAACATACACTTTTTACCATTGCGGTTAGTGTTACTAATCACAACGTACGCAAGTGTTTTTCATTAGTTGAATAATGCTTGCTTTAGCTTTGAAAAGAAAAATGGTAAAACTGACTGTTGTTTGTGTTTACTTCTATCATCACTGACTTCATGTTTATGTTTTCGTACGTCTAGTATCTAGTATGGTACGTGAATCGACAAGAAAGAATCTCACGAAGTAATAGCAGGCAATGTAAATGGGTTCCACATCTATATCCATTTTTCTTTGAATGGATCAAATATATGACCTGTTTTTTTTGTTTTTTTCTTCAAAATCATTTAGAACTTAGAAGTGTCGTTGTTTGCTGAGAATGCTTATAGTTTCGTGTTGTACTCCAAGAGAATGCGTGTAACTACGTATTTGTGACATAAACAGTTATCACAAGTCAACCATTACATGTTCGTTTTCATTTTCTAAAATGTTGTATATATTTAACTACAAATATCCTACTCGGCATCTATAATTGATACGTTTAATCAACCTCTTAGTCCTCATCATCGTCTTTTTGGGTTTGACTGATAACCTTTGCAGGATAATTCAAAACAAGATTACCCATGCTTTTAGAACCTTGATGAGATCATGAGATAGATGATGAAACAAATAGAAAAGGTTGTAGCTCATCAAGAGCTTTAGTCTAATTTAACAAAATCAAAGAAAAACACTTTAGATTGTCACTAAGATGAATATATAGGTTCGATTGATTCATAACTTATAGTTAAATTCACTCATAGAGAAACTCTACACCCATGGGTTATGATTACACTGGACTTGTGTTGGACTTGCATAGTTGCATATATATAGACCAACATAACCAAAGCAATGTACTAATAGGATAGCAAATCTGTTAACAAATGTGATCAAACCTGTTTGTTATATAGACTATTACTAACGTAACCCAAAATGAGAAAACAAACCAGAAACTTTCATTTCAAAAGTACAAAAGAAAGTGCAGGAGAAAAAAAAAAACAGAAACATGGATTAATTATTGCTCATTGTAGATTTTTAAAGTGAAAAAGATAGATCAAGCATAGAAAACATTAAATATCATAAAACATAATAATTTTCTTTAAGCTTGAGGTTTGTCCCACTTGAGTGGCTTCACAACCTCCCAGGTGAAATCAGGGTCGTCTCTTCCGAAATGTCCATACGCCGCCGTTTTCAAAAACCTTCCACCTCCTCTCTTCAAGTCCAAGTTGATCGTCATCATTCCTGGTCTGAAATCGAAGTTCTCTTTCACGATCTTCAATATCTCCTTGTCTGGAATCAACCCTGTCCCGTAAGTGTCAACGAAGACAGACAATGGCTCGGGAACTCCAATGGCGTACGAGACCTGAACAAGAGCCCTACGAGCCATTCCATTAGCCACCACACTCTTCGCGGCTTGCCTCACAATGTAAGCTCCGCTTCTGTCGACTTTGGTCGGGTCTTTCCCTGAGAAAGCACCTCCTCCGTGAGCTCCCCATCCACCGTAAGTGTCAATGATGATCTTACGTCCGGTTAAACCGGCGTCACCGTGAGGTCCTCCGATCACAAACCGGCCTGATGGGTTGAGGTGGAAGATGGTTTTGTCGTCAAGGTACTTCTCCGGGATGACTGGTGTGATCACGTGTTCCTTGAGGTCACGAGCGATCTCCTCGTTGGTCACTGTCTCATCGTGCTGAGTTGAGATGAGAACTGTGTGGACACGGACTGGAACCATGGCACCATTGTCGTTGTAGTACTCGACAGTGACTTGGGTTTTGCCGTCTGGTCTCACCCAAGGGCAAGTTCCGTTCTTTCTGACTTCAGTGAGACGAGCACCAATCTTGGTTGCGAGTACGTGGCTCAAAGGCATGAACTCAGGGGTTTCATCAGTGGCGTAACCAAACATGTGTCCTTGGTCACCAGCTCCAATGTCTTCAGGACGTTTTGTGAAGTGACCGTGAACACCTTGAGCAATGTCTGGGCTCTGTTGCTCGATGTTGACAAGGACTTTGCATTTGTCCGCGTCGAGACCAACATCGTCGGAGATGAATCCAATGGCGCGGCAAGTGTCACGGACGATCTTCTCGTAGTCGACCGTGGCCTTGGTGGTGATCTCACCGAAGACCATGACCATGTTGGTCTTGGTGCATGTCTCACAGGCGACTTTGCTGTCTGGATCTTGCTCAAGGCAGGCGTCGAGGACTGCGTCAGAGATCTGGTCGCAAAGCTTGTCTGGGTGTCCTTCGTTCACAGACTCGGATGTGAATAGGAAAGTCTCCATTTTTCTTGAAGCTGTAAAGAACAGAAGAAAGATTGAATCAGCAAAAGTCTTCACACATCTCAAACATCTTTTTAAATTTGATTAAAACAAATAAAAGAATCTTTTGATTCCACACTCAAGTAGTCAAGTGACATAAAGCTATAGAGATTCCAAATCATGATCTTATCTTAAATGATTCGCTTCTTCTAAAATGATGCCCAAAATGGGTTGTGACACAGTAGCAGCCTTAAACAGAAGCAGATCTAGAAGAAGTAGCTGGTAAAAAAAAAACTAATTTGGCTTTAAGGAACTTCAGTGGCAATGATTAACTAGTGAAGACTCATTTATGGATCACTACTTAATGCAGATATAGCTCAAGTATACTCATTTGAAGTAAGATATGAACAGATCTAGATTCGTTTTTGAATCGAACTTAACCTAATGATTAAATTTCTAGTATCACAAAATGAACTATTTACAGATTTCACCAGGAAAAAAACATGTAAAGTATAGCCTAATCATGTTCCTCAGCCTCAAATCTAACGAAAATGTTCAGAATCTCATTTCGTCACTTAAAACAAAGCCAGACCATCGCAGATCCAATTAGAATAACGCGTAAAAGGGTTCGAAAATATCAAATCCGAATCGAAAACCATAGAAAAAAGTCCCATTTCCTCGGAGATTTAACAGAGCACACAACCGTAAATCAATACAAACTCATCAAATCGAGAACACATATCAATAGAGAAGAAAAGAGGGAGAAGAAGAAGAAGAAGAAGAAGAGCGATACCTTTTGGCGAGAGATTTGGGCGATTCAGATCTCGGAAAAATCAGATCTCTCTGCCAAGTGCCTCAGAGCAAGTCTTATACCGAAGGAAACGAGTCAGGACGGTTTGTGGCTCTAAACGGCGTTGCTATTTATAAGGGTTAAACGGCACTGTTTACTGGCCACCGGATCTATAGGTTAAGTGAGCTCTTTGCTTTTGGACTTCCAATACTTCATTGGCTCATTCGGCTACGTCTGCAGCTATTGGAAAGTAAATCCAAATATTATTAATTTTTACCTATATTAATTAATCGAGTTATGCTTCAAGCCAAATGTAGCAACCGGGAGGTGTCGGTAGCCCAATAAATGCTGCAGGTTTCGGAAATTCAGCTCGGCTCGGCTTAACGGCTGATTCGTGTGCGTAGCTGCTCATACTTGTGTAGTGGGGTTGGTATTAAATTAATAATGTACGTAGCCGTTTTTAGGAGAAATATGTTTTGTTCACGGCATGTTAAACAGATCACTAACAAAAGAAAGAAAAAATTTTGGGGACAGACATTAAACGGGGTTGGTGTAATTGATTTAAATCCGTAAGTGGTTTGAAGATTAAGACCAGCCATCTAATAACAATGCCAAGTCGGATTATAACAAAATTGGATTAAGTGAATTTACTATTGTTCTTTGTAATAGATTACAGGTGCATATATGTTACTGTTAAATCGTAATTTCATGTGAAATGGTTGGTGCCTTTGATAAAAACACAGGCAAATGATGTGTTTTTTGGATAATTCTCATAACTTACGTATACTTAGTAAATAACTGGACTAAATTACAAACTACCAGTCAACTTTGAGGGCTAATAAATAATTACAAGTCCATTAGTCCAAAATCGTAGAATATTCCAAGTCGTGTGAGTGAATTACGATGAGAAGGTAGTTGGAAGTTTGTATTTGTTGCATGCGAAACTCATGCACGCATAAGATTGTTTTGACCAGAGTTTAAATTTTGTGTGTTTATGTCTTGAAATACCATTTATGAACAACATATTAGCAAGTTATTTGGACAGGAGTACGCGATTTGACTATTACTCTAAAAGGGCAAAGCTAGGACATCAAGTTGTAAGATTAATAAATAAATAAAAACTCTACCTAATCATACAAACTCTACCTAATTACTGAAAAAACGTTGCAAGTATAATAAGCTTTACAGGACTCTACATCATAAATTATAAGAGGGTTAACAGAATATGTATAAGCAATGTGTGTCAATTTACTCATAATTTTGACAATTTACTCACTGAATAGACTTTTGAGTTAGAAACACATAATCTCTATCACTCGAATTCCATGCTTTTGGTTTTTTACCAAATCAATTACTTCATAGTTTTCATAGTTTTAACAAAGCACACGAACCTTTTTTTAGTAAGTAACTGTATAATTAGGTAGAACTTTTTTTTTTTTTAACATAACTTGAGCACTTATAGTAGTTCACTATATGAACCGACAACTTAAATTAAGAGCAATACCATACGGTACTACAGCCACTGGTAGTGGAAGCATACCATACAATCGACCATTAATAAATGCTGATGAGAATTTTTACAAATAAACCGTATTTTTTAATTAGAAACTCAGAATTGAATAAAGTCATGTGTTATGTTGACATTTCATCCATAAAGGTCGTCCCACATGGGCAAAATATCCCGATCTTGAGCAATAATGATAATGTGACACTCAAATTTGGGTTCAGATTCAGAACATGATACCAGAATGGCATAAAATTTAATAGAACACCGACAAAAACAAAATTCTAAATCAAACTACCGGAAGTTAAAATCCGGTTTACTCTGAACAGCGGTCCATCAGTCAAAATTGGATTGGTACAAATTACACGCAGCTTGTCATCTCCAAGCCTCACCGGTGTGTAAATGAGTCCTCACAGAGTGTAGCTTAGAACAAAGTTATAGAAGTTTATAGAGAAAGTACCTAAAACAATAAATCAAAAACCGAGCGGTTAAACGGAGAATTCGACCATTTGGATCCCGCGTCCAGCAACAGCGATTTGGTATCGGTTTCTGCAGATAGATTTAACACAACGATTTGGTATTAGAAATGGCAGCAAGTCAAAGACAAGAGGTTTCTTTTTAATGGATTAAGAAAGTATCAATGCATTTCACTTACTCATCAATGGCTTTAGCATCAAGCGCCTCTGGCTCGGGCACGCTGATAACTATATGAGCATGCTCAATGAGTTTACCATCTTCGTCAAGAAACCAACATCTTACACGTTGATCAAGACCTGTCGAGAACACCCAGTTCGCGTCCATCCACACCCCTTCATCGCATCAAGAAATCAAGATTCACACTTTCATTAGGGGAATGGTGAAAGATATAGTAGAGAGACTAGAGACTTATGATTGATCTACATAAGAGTTTTCCGAGGTGAAGTACCTTTTATGGCAGAGCTATGAGCTGATGCAATTCCTCCACGGTCTGTAAGTCTGATTTTGTAATTTGGGGTTTGGTTTTGATCCATAATTTCGGATTTGTCAGCTGGAGTAAGGATGTTGAAGCTAAGACAATGAAGGGCTTGATCATCACCGCCGCTAATCACATTGAACATCAAACCACTGCCGTAACTTGGAGAACTGATCGAGCGGGAAACATGAAGGCAATTAACCCCAGATTGATGAGCATTCTTAACGACATGTGATGGCTTTATCTCACTTGTCTCAGGTGGAGAATCTGTATCTTCGTCTCTATCGTTTTCCTGAGGAACGCCATTTGTGAGTTCCAAAGACGTGGCTGGATCTTCTTCTGCAGCTTCACTAACCGAGTTACTGTTACTGTCTTGTGCTTGTGCTCTCTTAGAAATGTTGGCGCCTAACGATTTCCATTTCCTACCACCTTGGCTTCCTCTTCCGGTTCGTGGCCGTTTCTGACAATCAATGAACTTCTCAAAATGGAGGCTTGATGCTTGCTTTACAAAAGCTTCTACACATGTAGTTACATCCCAAAAGGCTATGCTTCCATCTGTGGCTCCACTGATGAGAAGATAAACATCACTAGATGATGTATTATTGTTACCTGTCAGGTAAAGTTACCAAAAATTGTTAAACGAGTGAAGTTTTAAAAGAAGTTGAATCCTTTATAACTTTTACCACCACAAGATTTCAAGGAAGAAACTGAAAATAAGTGAAGTAATAATATCAATGGCTAACCTTCATGTGGGGGATGCAGAGGCACAATGGCATGTTGTAATGACAGAACTGGCGATACCAGAGGAACCAAAGACGCAACATCAAACCTGAAATTAGGTGCAGAGTAGATCAAAATGAAATAGAGGAAAATTGCGGAGGAAAATCAAAATCATCAAACAAGTAATAACGCTTCTTCTGATTACCATAATCTATGTGGTAAGACTAGTGCTCGTAATGTAAGGGTGGCATCAGAGCAAGCCACGGCGATAAAACAGATAGTTAGCCTGAAAAGATGAATAGAAACATATTTCAACATCGTCTATCGTCAAAAGGTTCAATCAAAGTAAGTGAAGGCTATCTCTCTAACCTGGAACCAACACATTTTACAAGAAATGCAGTGGCAGCCATGTATCTCCAATCATCTTCATAGTTTTCTCGCTCGTGATTTGAATTGGATCCTAATTTCGTGACATTAGCAGTAATATCTTCTTCAACACCTTCCACTTTTGGAAATTTCTCGATCTTTCCACAAGGACGAGAACTTTTGGTAGGCATGTCAGTAGCAAGCCATTGGAATGTCACTGACGACACTTCCGGTGAAGCTCTATTGTGTCCGTTATCACTAATAGAAGATTCTCCCTTTTTATGTTGTCTACCATTCCTTAGGAGCCAAGAGGTTACAACACGCTTGGCGCCAACAGAAATCAGTAAGCAAGGACTTTCACTATCGTCAACTGCAGAGTCTTGTCCGTGCACATCTGGTAAGTTAGGTATGTCTGAACCAATCATGTGCATCTTTGATACGCAGCAAACTGATCTCACAGCTGAGCCTCCAACATGTTCTCCTAATAGCTCTGATGTTGACCAATTTCCAACCTCAGATGCATACCTAAATGATCCCCAAGTATTTTTAGATAATCAGATGAAAATATTTATAAAGTATCACTTCATTAACTGTATAACAAGAGTAGCATCTACCTAGTCAATCTCACAGATCCATCTTCACACCCTGTTGCAATCCAACTAGACCGATCAGATATTTTACGTTCTTCAGATTCAAATCCAGCATTTGGATCAGCAGAAACGAAGCATAAGGAATGTAATTCTCGTCCATGGAATTGCGTATGCAAATTTAGAGGAAAGACTTTGGTCTTCTGTGCTCCAACCCAGTGTCTACGAATATGAATGACATCATCCTAAGAAAGAGACGGGTTGATTTGACGATCAGTCAAAGATCAAATATACAACTCTAATTGAGAGAAAATAGAATGCACCTTCACATATGCAAAACAGTTTTGCATATCAGGAATGTCCCCGAGATAAAACGAGTGGGGACGGCGCCATCCACCACATGAGATTTGTGCAACCTGTTGTCATAAGAAGTTTAGAATGTTACTACAGCTCACATTAAAAATGTAACTTAAATGAGAAGGCAGAGGTGGACCTTTGTTTCAGATGTTAAGTTCCACAGCATAAAATCTGTTGATGCAAATCCGGCTGCATATTCATTGTTCGGATGGTCTTTGGAAAAGTGCATGCCTTGGCAAACAGATTGAACTAAGCTCAACTCTTTCAATTGTTTCAAACCCATGAACTCTAAAGTCTGCCTCTCTCTGTCATATTCGAAATAGCATATGCAACCGTCTCCTCCAGTCTGAACATAATATTTAGAAAAAAGGAAAGATCAACAAAAGAAGGTCACTGTCCACGTGACAAGGAAATAATAGCGAGTAATTCACGATTTCTTCTCCTTATAAACCAGACAACCACCATGAGCAGAAGATAACAAACGTAGATAAATTTAGTCATACCGAGCATATTTCAGCTTTGTTGGAAGGTAATCTGGCAACTGAAAGACTGGAAATAGTTGAAATCCCATGGGCAGCTTTGAAATATTTATGTGAAGGTATCTTCAATTCTGGAGAAACACAAGCCCCGTTCAGCATATCCTTTGACAGAGGAAAGAGTGTAATATTGCCACGTAAATCTCCACACACAAGCACCTGCAAGCAGCAATCATTTCAGTACAATACAAACTTCACAAGGCTAAAACACAACGCAACTCTTGGATGCAAACTTTTTAGACTTAAAATGTTAAAAAAAAGATTATGTACTAGTTTTGGCTGCATAACCAAGAGTTGTGTTCTTAGCTCGTCATTTAGTTAAACTGGTGTAGAGAGGGAAAAGAAAGCAATACAACACAGAAACATGGCAATAACTAAAACGTATATTACCTCATCTTCAACTGATGCATCTACACACATTATTCGCATTCCAAAAGAAGAGGAGAATTCGGCCAAGAGGGCGATATCATAAGTTTCAGAAGCGCTTGAAGTAGCAGAATCTGAAGGATCAGATAGTCTCCACAGCTTCAGTAATCCTCTAGGATTGCAAGAACAAACAAACCTGGAAGCCAGAGACTGAAAATTGAAATCTCACAATATTCTTAACCAAATGATTTCCACACATTGTCCGAGAAAATTATTCAAAATCCTTTTAACCAATGAGGGTATTTACCTATATCCTAATGATTTGCACCAGAAGGTCCCAAGAAGTTGTCTCTCTGGGCTGGCCTTCCAACTTTGATATGATCCCGCAAGTGGATTACACATATCACCAATAACCTGAACAATTGTCATATTCCCTTTGCCATCTCCAAGAGCAACCCAATCATCTAATGCAGAAGATTTGTGTACTTTTCCTCCAGGCAAGACATCCATGGTAATAATAGGGCCCTCTTCAGGTATGCGAGCTAATTCGGTCCAACTTACATTTCCAGATGACAATAATCTTGCATGGTATAAGCAACCATGGTTTGTGGCCACATACATGGTATCTTCCTGTGTGAACTGCAAGCAGCGTACATACTCACTCTTGCTGCAAGGGGGAAAACAATTATATAAAGAACTACCCACAAGAAAAACCAGGCATTTATATAGACCACCCTCTTCCTTTAGTTATATTTACAGGAACATGAATCCAAATTATTTACTTAACGCCCTTGACCTTTCTATTATTACTTTGGATTAACTGCTATTCATGTTCAAATTCACCTTTAATGTGTTCATTTGGCATACAATAACCAAAAAATCCAACTCTGTAGACTCTAAAATCTTGTCAACGCACATGTACTACCTGTCCATGAGACCAGTTTGCTGCGTTGAATTTGGGAGGCGGGCTGAAAAAGATTCCACTTTGTCTTGTGAGTAGGGCACTCCTACAGTATCCAACAAGATTTCAGACCCACAATTATGCAATTGATGTACTTTGATTGCAGAGTCAAATCCAGCAGTGACAAGAAGGGATGAGTTCGGATCATACAAACATCTCCATATGCCTCTTCCACTGTATAATAAATAATGGCTCTTCATCAGTAAATAACATATTAGAACGATGTGAATAGTGTGATCGACCAAAACACCATGTCACCACTTACATATGTTCCTTTATCACTTCCAGCTGCGTACCATCCATGCCCCAGACACGGCATGTACAGTCCTCACCAGCAGTGACAATCAACTGAAACAAAAAAACATCCAAATTCAATAATCTAGAAGTTGAAATTTTACTGTGCTCTCAATAGTCAATTGTATAAGATCACAGGTACGAACAGATTTATACCTACATAACTTATGCCAAAATGGCTGATAAGTTTTATCACCTCAGAAGCGTGACATTCACATTCTATGCTTTTAAGCTCTTAGCATAATACTCAAACGAATGCAGAAAATTTAAACAAAACCATATAATAAGTCAAAGAAATCTGAGGTACATACAGAATCTGAGATGCAGCAGTCCCAAACCCTAACACTGTGACCAAACAGCACAGGGCCAACGACCTCCTGCGAATCTATTTCCCATATCCTAGCACTATAAAACCAAAAAGATTATGCCGTTAGATACATTAACAAAAGGAGTCAGAGAAACGTGAAATGTTTACACTTTAACACAAAACAAATGTTCACCTACGATCATCTGAGACAGAGACTAGCTTAGATCCATCCAAAGACCAAACAATGCGAAATATTGAACCCTCATGACCAATAAGTCTACGCATATGGGAAGCACAATAATGCCCATTGTCCAAGTTGTCACCATCAACGCCAGCTGCCCTCCAAACAATGATCTGCCAACAACCAGTCGATTCCACTTACTTAAGCTATCTTAAGCACCACAATAGAACTAAAAACTGGCAGCAAAAAGAAAAGATACTCTACCTCATTGAAAATAGTGCCAGAAGCGATGCGGAGCGTCGAAATAGTGTTGCCCCATAATCGCATTGTATACAGTAGACACCTTTCTGCAACCAAACAAGTACTTCAATATACAATAGCTCTAACTTGAGTCATCAAAACCTAAAAGCTCCAGAATCCAGTACACTAAAACTAACCTGGTGACTGAATTTCAAAAGCCATACGTGATTCTTTAACATCCCAAATGCAGAGAGAATTATCACTACACCCAATAGCTAGAAGTTTGTCTTCTTCTTCCGATGATCCAGTGGAGTCCTATCCCAATAGCAAACCCACCAATCAGCAAAATTGAACATTATCAAATCAAGCATTGGACTGAAGCAGAAGGAGATTTCATCAACCTGCAGGAAGCAAACGTCGAAAACCCAATTGCTAAGCCTCGGCAAAGAATCAAGTATCTCCAAATTCACGGAGATTTCGCCATCGCTCGAGGCTAATTCAACAATCAATGAGAAGATCTTCACTCTCTTCTCTCCGAATATAACAAGTTTATACGTATATCGGTCGTCCGAACGAACAAAGCTGCAGCTACAAACAGTTCCATGGACGCGAACTCCCTCAAACACTTGAAACGAGCGAATCAACTCCCCGGAACTCAAATCGTAAAGCAGAATCTCCGAACCGGAACCTAATCAAACAAAATGGAACCCTAAGTACATTAAAATCTATAAGAATTTGAAACGAAATTCAATACAACCGAAATTTAATGTGGAAAAAAAACGAAAAAGAAATCTCGAGAGCTCACCGGCGAGAAGATAAGGAACGGTAGAAACATGTTGAGGTAGATTGAGGAAAGCTAAAGAGGAGACTTCTCCGAGATATGGACCGGCGTGAGGACTCCACTTGCGGCGGCTGTTATCTTCCGCCATGGCTTTACTACCCAGCACTGCGGCTCCGACTTGAGTTCAAAGTTTAGAGGTAACCGAAACTTTCACTAGTCAAACTTTCCTCAATAAAGTCAACCGAACATTTTGGGCTAAAAATATTAAAACGCCTGGAAATGAAGGCCCAATGGATTCTACATTAAAAATATATCAAAAAAAGAAAAACAATGCGGTGAGCGTGGATCGAACACGCGACCTTCAGATCTTCAGTCTGACGCTCTCCCAACTGAGCTATCCCCGCTATTGGTTTATTAATACTTTAATATGTAAACAGTATAAACACATTTGAAAGTAAAGGCCGCCAATGGGATATAAATTAAAAAAGAAAGAAAATGCGGTGAGCGTGGATCGAACACGCGACCTTCAAATCTTCAGTCTGACGCTCTCCCAACTGAGCTATCCCCGCTTTTGTCTTTAGTTGTGACACGTGTACATATCAAGACAAAACACATTTTATTTTGTTTTATTCGATGAAAGTAACAGTACAAATTACAATACGTATGACTCTCTGAAAGTCCAAAGGTGCGACTTTTCTCACAGATAAAATTTTAGATATCGCAAGAAATCCACAACGGCTCCTCAAACTGACCTTCAAGCTTGTCTCCATCTTGACCGTTCAAACTCAATCGACTCAGATCCAAATCATCCGCAGTATGCCACGTGGGAGTTCCATCTTCATATCCATTCCACGTCAGCCTCCTCAAACCCGTTCCGTCCACCTTCACAACGTACAAATCCCCGTAAGGCTGAAACTGATTCGGCATCGCCACCGGCTCCGCCGTAATACCACCGAGGTTCGCCGTGAAGACTACCCAGTCACCATCCTTGTTGAAACTCACGTGATTAACCCTCTCCCTTGCCGCTTCCTCCGACCCCTCCGGTCCCGCAACTTGAATCCTCCTCAAACCAGAACCGTCAGGCCTCACCACATAAGCGCCGAATGCGTCAGCGTTCGCTGGGTTGTGCCGATTGGATGAGAATCCGATGAGATCTCCTTTCGGTGACCAGCAAGGCATAGTGTCGATCCACGGCCCTTCCGTCAACCGTCGTATACCGTCTCCGCCCTTAGATTCTCCGTTAACGGCATCTAAAATGTAAAGGTTCTTATGACCGGATCGGCCAGATCGAAACACGACGGATTTGCCGTCGGGAGAGCAAGACGGGAAGGCGTTATTTCCGGTGTTCTCCAGAGTGAGAATCTTCACTTCACATGGAACCTCTTCTTTATCGGCGGTGAGATCTGACGGATCGAACTTAATTCGAGCTATCTGAACAGCAATTCCCGCCGGACGGAAGATCGGACCGAGAGATGCGTAGATGACATGCCTCTCCGTGGGACTCCACGAATTGTAGAAGGCTGTACGATCCTTGATCAACGTCCACCGTTTCGAACCGTCGGATTTAGCTACTTTGATGCCACCATTAATGTCGAAATCGGAATTCAATGCGATCAGATCACCGTCAGGAGATGGTGATGGAAATGACCCGTTCAATCTGAGCAGGCGGAGGGTTTTGATTGGGGATACGATCGATTCTAAGTTCGGGACGATAGACTCGCCCTGAGTCGACTCACCTCGGAACCGGTGGTATCCGATGAACTCGGAATTAGGAGAGACGAAGGGGCTGTAATGGTGGAAACTCGGATTGAGTGGCTCAGTCACCGGCTGAAACTTTTTGCTCTCCAGGTCGAAAATCTCGATGTGACGGTAGTTAACTCCACGACGTCGAGTTGCGACGGCGATTCGTTTTCCGTCGTGGAAAGCTGCAGGAGTGAAGCAATGGAGTCCAGGTGGAGTGACTCGAATCGGTTCGACCGGAAATTTGGGACATTCCTTGAAATTCTCCGGTAAATCAACCCGGTAAATGCTCCACCAGCCGTCTTCTGCTTGGTGGTGGAAGAAAACGGTTGAATCGCCGGACCAAGTCGGCCAACCGCCTCGCTCGCAAATCACCACTCTCGTCTCCGGCTCTGAAGCTCTGAAAACAACGATGTCAGTGTTGATCTCGTGAAACTCACCGCCCCAAGAGCGAGACCCATAGGACGCGACGGCCAGATATTCTCCCGATTGAGAAACCGCGGGGCTAAAGTCGGCGGTGTCTAGTGGAGTGACACGTGTAACTTCTCTCTCTTCACTGTCGATCTTCACGGCGTAAAGAGCGGGCCAGTTTTTGAAATGACGATCAGGCTGCTCGTGAGCGGAAATGAAATAGAGTTTGTTGTTTTGAGTAACAGCAGGACGGTCGTGGAAGAAGCTTTCCGGAGCTCCGGGAAGCTGCTTGGGCTTAGAATTACCGGGTCGGGTTCTATAAATCCGGGCAGAGCCGGCTCGTTCCGAAACGAAGACGACATCACCATCATCGTCAGCGAATTGAGCGTTGAAGTTAACGGAAACGCCGTCTGTTAAACGGCGTTCAACGGCGGAGGCGATGTGGACAGAGAAGACGTCGAAACCGTAGTGGGTGCGACCGATTGTGGTGAAGATGATGGTGCCATTTGGAGTTTCCATTGCCGGGGATTTGATGAATCGGTAGTGGTAAGCGATTGGAGTATTTATAGAGCGCTGATGACGTGGTGAGAGTGTTTGACTGTGTGTGAACGGAACAAAATGATCCGTGACGTGCGTGCGTGTGTAATGACGTTGAAGTCTCGATAGGATCTTTATCCTTAAAATGTACGTGGAAAATCGACGCAGATGAGAGATTCGTGTAATGTTAAAGAGAGTGAGAAAATTGATTTTGAATACTACTAGATGACTGATTGATAGATAGATAATGGATTTGATTGGTATAAAAGGGCGGCTAAATAATTTAACAGACTCACTCATAGTAAATTACCGCGGAAGAGTCTTGTTACCTCAACGACTGTTTTGCTATTACCACTTAAATTATTCCTTTTTAAACCAATTTTTGCAAATGATTTAAACACTTCATGTCACTTATATCTAGCTACAAGGTTGATAATAATATAATCCAAACATCTACATTTTCACATTGCTTGCTATATCAATATGAAGTGGTAATTTTCTTAAGATTCTGTTCAGATAACAAGAAGAACATGAAGTTGTAGTTTGTAAGAATTTCATAAAATAAATATTATCAAAAATTTATGAATCAAAACTTGCATCATATTATCTACTAGTCTTCTTCACCAACCAAGTATTGAATCACCAACAACAATACAACATCAAGTATTAGAAGCGTTGTGTTTCCCGGCGACAAGTAAAGTATTTTCCGGCGAGATGCTAGCCGGAATATATTTCACAAGCTTTGAATCCAACCCATGTTTCTTAACCCACTTCATCCTCCCCGCATCGATTATCTGCTTGCATTTAAACCCTAAAACAGCTCTTTCCATGGGCTTCATTTGCTTCACAACTTCCTCCACACTGCTCAAAGAATCATCTTCCACTTCTTCTCCTCCTTCTTGTTCCTCCTTTGCGCTGCATCACAAGAACAATCAAATTGAAATAACTTATTTAAAGTAACTTCTTCACGATCTTTTGAGTCCAAGAAATGTTACTTTGAAGCAAGAAGGTCAACGCCATCAACACCAGGAACTTTGGAACCGTGATCATCATCTACAGCCCAGCTTGTGAACCAAGTCAAAGTATGGAACTCGTCTTTAGAGATCCCCAGGCTAATGATATATTCTTTATCTGTCAAACAAACAAAAATGACATTTCTTAATTAATGGAGAATTATATACTACTCTGATAGACCAAAGAAGAAGCAGTGGCTGTGAGTTTTACTTACTTATATAGCTTTTCCACTGGCAAAGATGATGGCAACAAGTCGCAATAGCGAGACCTCTCAGAACAGGGCTTTCACCATCTTGTCTTGATAAACAACATCTTAGGCTCAAATCTATTATCAGACACACACAAATGAACATCAATCAGCAGAAACAGACACTCATAATGAAGTGGAAATCTAGACCGTAACAGCAAATAGTAACCTGTTGCAGGACCACATAGATGTTTCCCAATAGCCACATAAGGAACACCACGTAAAGACTCAACCGCATTAAGATTCAAATCCTCAACTGAAACACACAAAAATGTTTCATTTCTCAACCATTAATACAAAGCTCAAGAAAACAAGAACCAGTATTAAGATTAAAGGGAACCTTACTATCGATTCTCATACGCTCTAACACCAAGTTCTCCTTCTGTCTCAGTGACCGATCAGCCTAGAAGTCGTAAACACAAATGCAGTTCGAGAAAGAAATAAGCTAAAATTGCTGAAAAGAACACAAACGAGCAAAGCAAAGCTTGACCAACCTTAAGCTTATAAGACTTCCTCTCCACTAAATACACTCTCTTGACTCCATAGCAATCCGCTAGCATCTGTGTCAAATATCCTCTCCCAGCTCCAAATTCAACAACCGCAGACACATTATTATCGCCGTCTTTCTCTTCAAGATTGCTTTCGCAAGATTCGACACTTTTGTTGCACCTCTTCAATGCACCAATCTTGTCCAAGTTACCAAGAATCGAACCTTGCTGCAAAACATGTTTCTCTTGAAATGGTAACTTCCTGCACCAACCAATCACAACACATCAGTAAAAAGTAAACTTCAAGATCAAAAATCATCAAACTTTTTTTCAACCATTTACCTATCTATCTCCTTATTATACCATATGTTACAAGCTTCAGGTGACAAATACGAATCTTCGATATCATTACATATACCCCCATGAAGCGTCTCAATTTTCTTAATCAGCTGATGAAACTTGGAAACACTCATGCTATAGAGAAGATTCCTCTTCATCTCCGAAGTAACAACAGATTCTTCTTCTTCGTTTCCGGCATTGATGCCCTTCTGGTAAAACAGTTGACCAGACAATGCTACAGTTTGTTTTAGTAAAGGACATCTCTTCACATGCCCTTCGAGATTCTCCTGCAACACAGAGCTGAAGAATTCGAATCAAACCGTTGAAACACAAGAGCAGAGAATTAAAAATCGAAACAGTGGAGAAATCAAAATCATTGACTCACTGGGATGGATCAATTGGACATGGAATCCATTCACCATCCAATCTCTGACTATGGTTTCCACAAAACCTGTTTAATTGATTACTTAGAATAATCAGCTCCACAAGTAAAAAACTAAACGAAACATTCACTTCAAAGTAATTCGAATTTACATTGAACTCTCGATTCGAGTATTCGCGCATGATCTCTTCTTCTTCGGAAGCCAGAAATTACATCGATTGCCACTTCTCGCCGCCATTGTTTGCTGAGAGAGAGAGAGAGAGAGAGGAGAGAGAGAGGAGGTCTTCAACCTCAAACTGGGCTTTTGCTTCAGGCCCATAAAATTTCAAATCGTATTTTTTTAACCTCTTAGAGAAGGACACGTGGCAATGCCAAAACAAGAAGCAAATTTCTCCGCCTTTCATATACACTCCACGGCCACGTTTGTTTCCATTTCTTTCGCCGGCAAAACTGAAAGAAATCACACAGAAAGAACACAGACGAAGAAGAAGTAGAGAGAAAGAAAGAAACATGTCCGCGACGGCGATTTTCTCTCTAACGAATCCCAATGCCGTCGTCGCCGGATTCGGTGGTAACCGGACATTCAGTTCCCGGGGCTCCGTAGCTAAACCGAGCTCCAGATTTTTACCTGCTTCTCTGATGAAGACTTCGCCGATTGCTTCTAGATTCTCTCCGTTGCTTCTTCCAATTAGGTCATCGAATTCTTCGGTCTTCAGGAGATTCGACACTCTCATGGAGTGGCAAGAGTGCAAGTAAGCAATTCTGTTTCTCTTGCTCTTAAACTCTCTGTTGACTTGAGAAAGAAAGTTTTTTTTTTTTTTTGCCTCATCGAAAAAATTTGAAAATTTGATTTACACAAATTTGAGTAGATTTACATAAACTAATCGCATTTTAAGGACAAAGAATAATTCGTTGGAGTTTTTTTTTAACGAAATTGCAGAATCCCATTGTTTGTCTCTGATTTTGATTTACTTAGGATGATCAATGAATTTGATTAAAAGCGATATAGTCAAATTCGACACTTTTTGCCTATTGATGTCATGTCACTTTTTCACAATGCTGCTTTTTGTATGATATTAATCAGATTCAAGCTTTGTAATTTCATTTTTGTCTTACCTTGAAATGTTTTTTTAAATCGGCTCTCATGAGTCATACAAGTGTTTGAAGTTTTCTCTCTGAGTGTATATATGTTGTTGAGGATTCTTTCAGAGTGAAGAAGAAGGTTGAAGTGCCTGCATCAGTTGCTTATGGACTCTACTCTGACCGAGAATCGATTCCTACGTGGATGTCTTTCATTTCAGCCGTAAAGGTAATGACTTTGTTTGATCATATTGTTGTTTCTGTTGGCTTTTAAATCTCTACTGAACATTGAAATGTAATGAATTTATTTTTTGCAGGTACTGAAGGACAAACCTGAGTTATCTCGATGGACCTTGAAATATAAAGCATTTGGTCAGAATATAGAGTACTCTTGGCTTGCTAAGAACTTGCAGGCAAGTATCAGAAACTGATAGCTTTGATGATCTCTTTATTTGGATTTTGCATAATTGTTTTCTTTATTTTGTTTCTTGCAGCCTCTCCCGAACCAGAAAATACACTGGATTTCTCTTGAAGGCCTTCCTAACAAGTAAACAGAAACTGAACCGAATCAAAGAGTCTCAAACTTCATTTCTTGAGTAAATCTTGATGTAAAGATCTTGCTTTTTTTGTTTTTTTACAGGGGCACTGTTCGGTTTTTCCCGCTAGGACCTTCTTCATGTGATGTAGAAGTGAGATTCCTCCACTGTTGTTATCATCATCCTCTCTCTCTCTCTCTCGGTTTTCGAGTTTGAATGATTTTTGAGCTGTTTTTTTGCTTTGTTTGCAGCTAACCTTTGCATACGAAGTTCCTATGCTACTTATACCGTTTGCAGCAGTAAGCATTCTTTGTCCATTCTGTAAGTTGCTATCTTCTGGTAACGTTTTAACCCTTGCCTGTAGCATAACTTCATTTTTTTGCTTTCTTCAGGCGCTTCAACCGCTAATGCAAGGGATGATCAAGAATAGTTTGGATCAATTTGCAGAGATAGCAAAAAGCACAAAGACTACTTAGTTAAAAAAACAAAACACAGCACAACACATATATCATCACATTGTTCTTACAGGAATTTACAGAGAATCATTGTTGTGACGGTTACCATATTGTTTTTTTTTTTATTATACAGAACTGTTCATGTCAGCACAGGCTTGTTTACTATAGTTACAAACAACATTTTAATCTTGGAATAAAGAGTCTGAGTTTATCTGATCACGAGAACAATGTAATTGTTGACCAATGAAGGCCATATAGACATTAGAGGTATAGTTGACCATTTGGTGGTGGTAAACCAGTAATTAACCAGAAACAAAAGGCTTATAACCATAAACCAGTACCGAACCAAGTCTGATTAGTAGAAAGAACAGTTAACCAGATGCAATTAGTTAATCTTCGGGAAAGCCCAAAAGTATGGAAACATGTGTCGTCGTGGAGATAATATCAATGTGGTAGCATACAATCTGATTCATTGGCCAAGTCATATAGTCGAGAATCCAAGTTCGTTAGTCTTTCTTTAGATGAAAAAACAAATTTGATATGGAGAGTAAATATGATGTCAGCGTGACAACGTCACGTTTTCCACGGTTACTATAACCACAAATTAAATAAATACTAAAATAAAATAAATACTACGATTAAAAAAAGACTGAGAGAACCTCTAGGTTGAATTGATTACTTGATTACCGGGGTTCAATTAGTAAACTAATACAAATCCAATGACATATGTTCTTAACTTTGTTTTTAATAATAGTTTCTTCGGTTCTTTGACAATTTGACATTATCTTTCGTTGACAGACACATAACTACGTCCCAACGTTATTACTTTACACTTTAACAGAGGTTTTACTTGTATGATTTTCGTTATTAATTATTTTTTAAGAAGGGGCAATTTAGTCATTTACGAAAAAAGCTTCATCACCTAATAATATCCTCTCACTCGTCGCATTAAGATGTTCTCCTCGAAACTCTAAATCCCCCAAAAAATCATTCTCTTCTCTTCCGTATGGCAATGATGAACAAAGAGAAAGAGACAGAAACCAACAGAATCAACGAGATCGATGACCCAGAAGAAGACGAAGAAACGGAGAACAAGAAAATGGAGATGTTCTTCAACCTGATTAGAAACTACCAGGAAGCGAGGAAACGAAGAAGACAAGAATTGACTGAAGAAGAAGATTCCGGCGACGCTGCTTCGGATCCGAGGAAGAGATCGGACGGCGGAGAGAATTCCAGCATTGTTCCTGTGTTTCGCACCGAAGATTTCTCTAAGTGTATAGACTTAAACTCAAAGCCATCGAATTCGATTGTCCCCACCATGAATCAAGAGGATGAGAAGGAAGAAGAAGCAGACAAGGAGACAAGAGAAGAGAACGGTTTAGATCTTAATCTTGCATTGTAATAAGAATCCCATTGTTTCTTGTTCGTGAATACAAAAAAAAAATCAAACTTTTTAATCACTCAATGCAATACAGTACATAAAAACAGTGAATTTGATAGGGAGATTACAGAATTTAAGAGATGATCAAGTCAAGTCAAGAAGCTGCAGGTGAAATCGCCATTGATGAGTGTTAGCTTCTCAGCTTTGACGACAGAATCTAGAGGAAGAGGAATGAAAGTTTTGTCTGGACCATAGAAGTGAGGGAAGCTATTCACTTCATCCACAGCTTCATAGATCAATCCATCTCCAAGCTGCTCAAAAAAAGCACATCAAAACATGTCAAACTCTTATGTTCCACAACATAAAGAATCTATATAACTATTGGCTCATTGTATCTAAAACATCATCAAAGCAAAACATTTGGCATCAATCATGTGTGAATGCGGAAGACACATAACCAACTCTTGGCAACAATCAGACATGACAGAATGATACACATCAACTTAAAATGTGGAGCTAACGACACCAGAAACTAGACGATTCTTTAACACCAAATGATCTGATCATATAATTTAATTCATATTAAAAGGATAGAGTCAACAACATCAGTGACAACAAACCTTCTTAGGGTCGACTTGAAGTAGGTAAAGATCCTCCTTTACATTCATGAAAAAGTTCTTCAATGTCGATTGCACCTGCAGATTTCAGATTTCACACTCAATTTCTTAAAGTTCAAAGCTTTAAACTTTCTAGATATTCCACTAACAAAGTACAAAGCAAATCGGTTAAACAATAGTGGAAAAATTTCGAGATTCTTCTTCATCGTTTCGAGAAATACCCAAATGAAAAAGTCGAGATCTTTATGAGAGATTAGAGCAGAGAGACCTGATCGAGTCTGCTGAGATGGAAACAACCAGTTGATTTATCGAGCTCTCCACCAGAAGAAGATCCATTCTTCTGAAACTCTTCCCACTCTTGACCCGTACTGATTCTGTATATCAAATCTTCCTTATCCATATCTTTCTCACCTCACCGGAGAAAATTGTATTTGCGATTGCGAAGCGATCGAACATTGGAACAAAAAGGGATTCGATCAAAATCAGTTCATTAAACCGGGAATAATTTCGATAACCAAACCGGTATAAGCTAAACCGACTCGTCGTCAACTTCGAAGTTCCCACATTCCATATTCCTCCGCTTGTATTCAATTGTCAATGGTCGAAATCAGTTTGGTAAGGAAAAAACAAAACTCTCAAAGTCTGTAACTAACTATTCACTCAATCATGGCGGCGATAATGGCGAAACCAATCTCAATAACTCCACTCCGTTTCTGCTCTGATCGAAAGAACATTTCTTTCTCTGATTGCATTTCGATTTCTTCTGGATTCCGACATTCCCGACCTTCTTGCCTCGATTTGGTCATAAAATCACCTAGAAACACTCGTTTTAACCCTCTCGTTAGATCCCAAAGCTCTCCTGGTAAGCCAACATTTTGATATTTTTCAATCTATTTCGTCTGTTTTGATGTGACTGACTGTTCACAACATTTCCTTTTTCTGTTTTGTAGATTATATTCCAGACTCTAAATTTTACAAGGTGGAAGCAATTATCAGGTAAGCTTCTAAATTTATTGGTTCCAGTTGTAAAAGTAGATCAATTATTGGTTTAAATATCTGAGAGTGCCAATGTTGCTTCTTTTTTCTAAGTGGGATCTCACTAAGTTATCTCTTAATTGTCATGTATGAATGTTGGACTGTAAAAGGCCATGGAGGATCAAGCATGTTTCATCGGTAAGATATTTTCTTGTTCTCATGTGAAAAGATTTCAACTTGGCTAATCACTTGAGGTTTCTTAGCCAATGAGAGTTTTCAATCAAAAAAAGAGTCAAACTTTGGCATGAATTGAAGGTTTGTAATGTTTGCAGAGTTTGAAGAATCCGTAATAATAGAAGTTTGAGAAATAAGTAAGAGTAGAAAGTTCACGCATGCGAGGATCAAAGCATATGTGTGAACTTGATAGGACTGGTTCAAATATTGTTTCTCTAGAGTTTAAAATGTGAATTTTGAATTAAAGGTTTTAGGATCTCATGGTTATTGTAGATACCATGCAGAGGAGTAGTAGACAAATCCAACTAATTTCTAGACTTTCTCTGTTTCATTTAAAACAAAAAAATCAAGGCTTTATTGAAAGTGGGGATTCGAGGTGTTACTGTTTCTGATGTTAGAGGGTTTGGTGCACAAGGTGGTTCCACCGAGAGGCATGGTGGTAAGTTCTTGAAATTACATAGAATAGTTTCACTGATTCTTCTTGTTGACGAAAAAAAATAGACATTCTAATATTACCTTGTTGTACTTTCAGGCTCTGAGTTCTCTGAAGACAACTTTGTTGCTAAAGTTAAAATGGAAATCATTGTTAAGAAAGAGCAAGTACGTTTGTGATTAAAGACAAACCGAAACTTTTTGAAGCGAGATTTGACTTCCACAACAATTACCTTTTTTTTTGTTTCTTGTTGCAAGGTGGAATCTGTAATCAACACCATAATCGATGGAGCACGGACAGGAGAGATTGGTGATGGCAAAATCTTCGGTAAACCATACTAGTTTCACAATCATAGTATATTATGTTCATACATGAAAATGCAGATTGTGATTGTTTCTTGTTTTGGTTATGTATACAGTTTTGCCTGTGTCAGATGTCATAAGGGTCCGGACAGGTAAAACCTTGAGAAACGTTTCCTTTAAACAAATGAAAAGACACGATCTTTGGCTTGCCTGAAAATGTCTGTAAATAAATTTCAGGTGAGCGTGGGGAACAAGCAGAGAAGATGACTGGTGATATGGTCTCGGCATCTTAGGAACAAACGGAGAGCTCAAAAATGGTTTTTTTTTAAATCATTTCGATCGAGTTTCTGCTAATAATAATGAATGGAGTCTTGTGTGTTTTAAACTGTACATGAATTATGCAGAAACATCTGTCTCTGGTTCTCACTTCTCAGACATTGAAACTCTGTTCCAAATAAAAACATGTAGTCCTTTCACATCACTGTTTTTTTCCCATTAGAATTAGCCATTCGAATTTACTATAACATTCATACATAACAAGACAAGCCATTCGAATTTACTCTAGTTTTCCTGGTAAATTACATTTTCGGCGATCGAATCCCCTTTCCGTCAAGCTCTGGTTTTTGACCAAATCCGGTTATTTTACGATTCAGCTAAACTGAAACAAATGTACAAAATTCGGTTTAATTGACTCCTTTCGTGTCACCACAGAGAAAGAAAAAGGAAAAGAGTGTTCTTTTTTGGTTTTCCTCTTTCTAACTTATTTCGGATTGGGTTTCTCTGCTGTCGAAAGTTGAATCCTTTTCTGCGTGTGTTGTATATATAAACCTGAATCGCGAGGGAAAGAAACCTTGTGTTTCTATTTTGCTCTGAAGAATGAAAAAAACTAAACCTGAGAAGAAGATGGTGTCGGATCTTCCAAGGGATTTGTCGGAGGAGGTGCTCTCTCGAATCCCTTTGACAAGCCTGAGAAAAGTCCGGTCTACTTGCAAAAAGTGGAACACTTTATCGAAAACCAGATTCCTTGCAAAGAAGCATCTCCGTCGAGAGGCCGAAAAAGCCAAGGAGGAGTTCATGGCGGTGGTGATGATGGATTACAGCGTTTATCTGTTGGGAGTCAATCTCTCCGACAAGGCCGTCCAATCATGTAGTGTAAAGCTCCAAGGCAAACTTACTTTCCCCACCGATTCAGATTCAGATCAAATCGATATCTGCAACGTGTTCCATTGCGACGGTTTATTGCTATGCGTCTCCAAAGACCAGACAAGGCTGGTGGTTTGGAACCCGTATTGCGGGAAACCCCTGTGGATCGAGCCACCGCATAGGCTCGAAATAAGTTACTTTTACTTGTATGCCATGGGATACGACAAGAGCAGCGATTCCCGAGGGATCTTGAGATCGCTCCTATAGACTGGAAGGTAGACTATATTCATTCCGGGGTGACTGTCAACGGAAACGCCTACTGGCTCGCTACAGAGGACGAGTCAGAGTTGGACGAAGAAGAGTATGGAAGAACTTTCTTAGTCGGTTTCGATTTCACGAGAGAGACGTTCGGGCCGCGGTTGCCTCTGCCGTTCCAGCATTACCCTAAGGATGCTGTGAGTCTGTCTCCTGTGAGAGGAGGGAAGCTTGCGGCTTTGTTTCAGCCGTGGGATAGTTTGGGGGTGAAGATATGGGTCACGAGCAAGATTGAGCCGGAGGCCGTGACGTGGGAGAGCGAGGTGTTCTTGTCGGTGAGTTTGAAACAGTCCATTCACCCTATGTTTCAGTTTACGGACACAGGTGCTAGTTTCTTCATTGACGAGGAGAAGAAAGTCGCCGTGGTTTTTGATGAAGCATTCCCTCCTAGGCCCGATAAAAATTCTATTGGCAACCAAGCTTACATCATTGGAGTGGATGGATCCTTGAAGATAGTTGATCTTGGAGTATCTGATCACCGAGGGTTTCCTCCACTCGCGTGCTCGTATCTTCCAAGTTTAATCCAACCTAATTAGCGAGTTCACTTGTTTTAGTTATGTGAAACTACAATGCTTTGTTTGATATCTAGCCGTTGTATGAGTTACATGTTAGAATTTTTGATCGGCGAAACATGTTCATGTAATGTAAAAAGATATTCCATTAAGGGATCAAAACATGAAAGGCCTTGTGTTTGTTCTTACCTATGTTTCTTACCTCTGTTTTTACTTTTCAAATTAGCCATATAACATTCATACATAACAAAGCTATTCGAATTTACTCTAGTTTTCCTAGTGGGGACTCAAGAGAATGATCATGGACTAGCCAAAGACCAAATTGGTGGAAACGTTTCATCTTGTTCTTGAAACCGACAATGTAGTTACATGTTTCCCCTTTGTCTCTTTAGCCCATGTCTTGTTCCTGAAGTACAATCCTCCTGTTGGGAAAGCTTCTTGCGGAAAGCAAGTAAACACATCCACCTTGTAGAACACAATATAGCAACCCATTGACAAATTTACAGAAAGTTACTGTGGAACTTGAATTGAATGAAGCGACAACATACCTGATGAGATGTTTTGTGAAGTGCCCAGTTAAAAGCAGGCTGATCATTTCCTTTATTTGATTTAGACCAAGGTTGAGATTGAAGTTCCTCAATCCATTTCTTCATGAGAAGCTTTGCGCCATTGCAAGAAAATCGTGCAGCTACAAATATAAGTCACTCCGTTTGGAGCCGGAGGTGGTAAATCATGACAGTGATTCAGAGGCTTAACTTAGCACCAAAATCAACCGGAGGTTTAAGATTTGTTTTTGTTTAATCAGTATAAAATGTCAAGGAGATAGATAGATGTGTAAAATTTCACATACTTCGGTCTTGTCATCCGTGAAGTACACGTCATGGCTGTCCTCTAAATACTGAAACGGATCTTGCATCCACACCATGCATATCAACATCGTTGTACATCACACGACTAGACCCAACATGAAGTTCGTCAATCCATTTCTTCATGAGAAGCTTTGAGCCATCTGTGGGACGCAAGAAAATTGTGCAGCTACATATTTTAAGCCATCCATTTGGTAAATCATGATGAGAGTGGTTCAAAGGCTTAATCTGGCACCAAAATCAACACCGAGAATGATATTAGAATAACTGCAAAAGGTTGGAGACATGTCAAGGAGAAGTGTGAATTATAACATACTTCGGTTCTGTCATCCGTGAAGTACACGTCATGGCTGCCCTCTAAATACGTAAAGGGATCTTGCAACCAGACCATATCAACATCGCTGTACATCACATTGTAACCTAGCTCCAATATTTCCAAGAGATGTTTCGGCCTCCGAGATTGCGAGATGTAAACTTGAAGAAACCCTAATTGGATGTGATAAACCCATTTTTTGTTTGGATCCCAATATTGGATACGTAAAGGGACCAACCAATACATATATAGTGAGCTAAGATCTCACTAAAGACAAAATGCATGTGTATAACATTCATACATAACAAGACAAGCCATTCGAATCTACTCTAGTTTTCTTAGTGGAGACTCAAGAGCATGATCATAGACTAGCCATAGACCAAATTGGTGGAAACGTTTCATCTTGTTCTTGAAACCGACAATGTAGTTGTTGTGGACTATGACATGTTTCCCTTGTGTCTCTTTAGCCCATGTCAAGATAATTCGTTCTGAATAATGTAATCACCACAGAAAAAAAAAAAAAAGAAAAAAAAGGAAAGAGTGTTCTTTTTTGGTTTTCCTCTTAAACCTAACTTATTTAGGATTGGGTTTTTCTTTTGTCGAAATTGAATTCTTTATTTTTTATGTATATAAAGTTGAATCGGGAGGGGAAGAAATCTTGCGTCTCTATTTTGTTTTGAAGATGAAAAAAACTAAATCTGAGAAGATGGTGTCGGATCTTGATCTTCCAAGGGATTTGTCGGAGGAGGTGCTGTCTCGAATCCCTTTGACATGCATGAGAAAAGTCGGATCTACTTGCAAAAAGTGGAACACTTTATCCAAGAACAGATTCTTTGCAAATAAGCATCTCCGTCAAGAGTCAGAAAAAGCCAAGGGCTTTATGGTGGTGGTGATGATGGATTACAGCGTTTACTTGATGGAAGTCAATCTTTCCGACAAGGACGTTGAGTCATCAAGTATAAAGCGCCACGGCAAACTTATTTCAGATCAAGTCGATGTATGCAAAGTGTTTCATTGCGACGGTTTGTTGGTATGCGTCTCGAGAGACCAAACAAGGCTGGTGGTTTGGAACCCGTATTGTGGGAAACCCCTGTGGATCAAGGCACCGCATAGGCGCAAAATAGTTAAGAGATACTTGTATGCCATCGGGCACGACAAGAGCAGCAATTCCCACAAAGTCTTAAGATTTAGGGCTTATTATAGAAGACCCACTGATTTCAGAATCTACGACTTGAGCTCCGGTTCCATGAATTCATGGAGGGTTCTTGATATCACTCCTCCAGACTGGAGGGTACAAGATATTCATTCAGGGGTGTCTGTCAACGGAAATGCCTACTGGCTTGCTTCCGAGTACGAGAAGTCAGACTTGGAGTATGAAAGAACTTTCTTAGTCTGTTTTGATTTCACTAGAGAGACATTTGGGCCGCGGTTGCCTCTGCCGTTTGAGCATTTCGCTCATGATACTGTGAGTCTGTCTCCTGTCACAGGAGGGAAGCTTGCGGTTTTGTTTCAGCCATGGGATTCTTTAAGGGTGAAGATCTGGGTCACGAACAAGATTGAGCCCGACGCCGTGTCTTGGGAAAGCAAGGTGTTCTTATCAGTGAGTTTGAAAAAGTCCATTCACCACATGTTTCAGTTTATGTATACAGGTGGTAGCTTCTTCATTGACGAGGAGATGAAAGTCGCCGTGGTTTTCGATGAAGAATTCAATCACCGTGAGCCTATGTGCAACCTAGCTTACATCATTGGAGTGGATGGATCCTTGAAGAAAGTTAATCTTGGAGAATCTTCTCACCCACAGTTTCCTCCACATGCCTGCTCTTATCTTCCAAGTTTATTCCAACCTAATTAGACAACTAGAGATTTTGATTTTGAATATATATCATTTTATCTGTGGAGTGTTTTTAGAACATATGGTTTTAACAATTTATTCCATATCTTTTGGAAGATTATGGAGATCAACTATTTCGAAGAATCAAAGAAATTTAGTTCTTGCATATCACTGTTTATTTTCCATTAGTTCTTGCATACTATAACATTCATACATAACAAGACAAGCCATTCGAATTTACTCTAGTTTTCCCAGTGGAGACTCAAGAGAATGATCATCGACTAGCCATAGACCAAATTGGTGGAAACGTTTCATCTTGTTCTTGAAACCGACAATGTAGTTGTTGTGGATTATTACTTGTCTCCCCTTTGTCTCTTTAGCCCATGTCTTGTTCCTGAAGTACAATCCTCCTGTTGGGAAAGCTTCTTGCGGAAGCAAGTACACATCCACCTTACAGAACAAAGGATCCCAAAAGAGTTTGAGAATGAATTCAAACAAGCAACCCATTGGGGAATCTAAATCTTGTGACAAAGTTACTGTGGAACTTGAGCAGAACCAAGAACATACCTGAGGAGATGTTTTGTTAAGTGCCCAGTTGAAAGCAGGCTGATCATTTCCTTTGTTTGATTTAGACCAAGTTTGAGACTGGAGTTCCTCAATCCATTTCTTCATGAGAAGCTTTGCGCCATGAGTGGGACGCAAGAAAATAGTGCAGCTGCATATATATGTCATTCCGTTTGGACCCGGAGGTGGTAAATCATGAGAGTGATTCACAGGCTTAATCTAGCACCAAAATAAACCGGATGATTAAGGTTTGTTATTATTTAAACACTCTAAAATGTCAAGGAGATAGATGTGTAAAATATTCACATACTCCGGTCTTGTCATCCGTGAAGTACACGTCATGGCTGCCCTCTAAATACGGAAACGGATCTTTCAACCAAACCATATCAACATCGTTGTACATCACATTGTAACCTAGCTCCAAGATTTGCAATAGATGTTGCGGCCTCCGTAACGTAAAATTGAAGAAACCCTACTCCGATATGAATAAATTAGTAACAAGTTACATACATACATAAACAGAGGATACAAAATCATTCAAAATCAGAAGAAAAAATAAAATAAAACTTGCTACTAAGAAGTGTGAATGGGCCAACACTAGTGTATAATGCCATAATATGGGCTAATTTCCAGCTAAGGATATATCTCAAGCTAGAGACAAAAGGTGAAACAATACCTGAGAACCAAAATCGTTTGGGGTTTGAGAATCAAGGGCTGGAGGAATGAGAACGGCGTGACCAGGCCATTTCTCGTTAACCTTGTAGAGAGTAGCGTAGTCCTCAGCGATGACGAGGACTTTGTCTTGATGTTTCTGAATAGAAACGCTAATCAACCAATTATTGAGAAATGGTAAGAAGGGGCTGCTCACGGTACAGACGATCAAGGTGCCATTCTTAGCGACGAAGTTGGCGGCTTGAGCGAGGGAATAGTCACGCCATTTGGAGTGAGAAGAAGGAGAGTCTTTGTTTGGAAACGAGAACAAGGGAGATCCTGCCTGGTATAAGTATACACCAACGAGAACGAGGAGAGCAACAAGGAGGCGGACAACGTTGCGCCTGAGGGGAGAGATGGGACGGTTTGAGATTGGAGAATAAGAGAGACGAAAGGGAGAGAAAAGATGGAGAAGGACATGTTGCTGCGCCATTGTTGTAGCAGGATATGAACAAAGCTGGATCCAAGGTGTCCTTCTAATCTATCAAGTTTGATCATATTTGGAAAGTGGGAAAACATTTGTCAAAGAAACCAATTTAAGTATTATAGAGTTTCCCTTATTTTGATTCAATGCTTAAGATTTTTTCCATGTATACAAGTATAGAAATATATAATCTAATATGGCAAGAAACAATTAAGGAAACAAACTTATTCTAAAAATTTGTATGCATCCAACTTAAAATGAACTATAACAAAAGAAAAAAATCCAACTTAAAAAGAAAAGCATCATACCCCTTGCAACCAGGTGAATTAACGAGTCTTGGGATTTACCAAAAGTCTAATATAAACTTACCACTGTCGTTTTTTATTATTTTGACGATAAGTTTAATTTTTTTTTTTTTTTTTTTTCTGTTTTTGACTTTTTTTTTCATATCGGTTTATTTCAGTTTTTTATTGAGATAAACAAAAAAAAAAATTTACCTCTATTTCTCAGTCTCTCTGCATACATCTTTTCTACTTTAGTGTGGTTGTTGATTATAGAAACTGAGCAATGGTGTTACCGTACTTATTTTTTCAAGAGTAACAAAGATTTGGCCTCTGGTTTTCCTCTGTTTCCTTTAACATTACCATTGGATTACCAAAATCAAGTCACATACTCATACTGAATTATCCATATAACACAATCTGATCACATAACTTTAAACATCCCCAAAACAAAAAGTAAATCATTTTACTCTAATTTTCCTAGTGGGGATTCAAGAGCATGATCATCGACTAGCCATAGACCAAATTGGTGGAAACGTTTCATCTTGTTGTTGAAACCTTTAATGAAGTTATTATGGACTATGACATGTTTCCCCTTTGTCTCTCTAACCCATGTCTTGTTTCTGAAGTACAGTCCTCCTGTTGGGAAAGCTTCTTGCGGAAGCAAGTAAACATCCACCTTGCAGAACAAAATATTACAACGGAGTTGAGCCAAGTGAAACTAAACTCAAGTCAAATGAGTTAGATAGAGACGAATCTGAGAGTACCAAATATTGCTTGAGTAGCCATTGAGTGACAGTTTCTACAGTAAGTTTTTGTGGAGCATGGAGGAAGCAAAAGCATACCTGGTGAGCTGTTTTTCTAAGCGCCCTGTTGAAACCAGGCTGATCATTTCCTTTATTTGCTCTAGACCCAACTCGGAGTTCGTCAATCCATTTCTTCATGAGAAGCTTTGAGCCATTTGTGGGACGCAAGAAAATTGTGCAGCTACATATATTAAGCCACCCATTTGGTAGTTCATGAGAGTGGTTCAAAGGCTTAATCTGGCCCCAAAATCAACACCGAGAATGATATTAGAATAACTGCAAAAGGTTGGAGACATGTCAAGGAGATGTGTGAATTATAACATACTTCGGTTCTGTCATCCGTGAAGTACACGTCATGGCTGCCCTCTAAATACGTAAAGGGATCTTGCAACCAGACCATATCAACATCGTTGTACATCACACTGTAACCTAGCTCCAATATTTCCAAGAGATGCTTCGGCCTCCGAGATGTAAACTTGAAGAAACCCTAATTGGATATGATAAACCCATTTTTTGTTTGGATCCCGTATTGGATACGTAAAGGGACCAACCAAATGACCAATACATATATGGTGAGCTAAGATCTCACTAAAGAAAATATGCATAAATGAAACTTTACCTGGGAACCGTAATTTTGTGGGGTTTTCGAATCAAGGGCTGGGGGAATTAGAACGGCGTGACCAGGCCACTTCTCGTTAACCTTGTAGAGAGTAGCATAATCTTCAGCGATCACGAGGACTTTGTCTTGATGTTTCTGTATAGATACGCTAATCAACCAGTTGTTGAGGAAAGGCAAGAAGGGATAGCTCACGGTGTAGACGATCAAAGTGCCATTCTTGGCAGCGAACTTGGCGGCTTGAGAGAGGGAATAGTCGCGCCAGTTGGAGGGGAAAGAAGAGCCTCTGTTTGGAAACGGGATCAATGGAGATCTTGTCCATGGTAAGAATACACCGAGGAGAAGAAAGAGAGCGAGAAGTGGGAGGAGACCTTTGTGGCTGAAGAGAGAGATGGGACGGCTTGAGATTGATGAACAAGAAAGAGGACATGAACAGAAAAACCGGTGAAGGACATGTTGCTGCTCCATCGTTGTCGCAGGAGGAGGAGAGGAACGAAATATTGGAGAGGAGAGGTTTCGTTATAATTTAACAACTTGGATCATGGAATTCGAAAAAGGGGAAAAATGTTCTTCTTCTTCTTCTTATTCTTTTAAGTTAATTAGTCCCAGTATTATGAACTGTTTTTTATACCTCAATTGATTAGATTTCACAAGTTTTGGTATCATTACTAATGCAATCGAATATAGGTTAACATTAAAAGCTGAGTAGCAAATGGTTAGATTACATTTCCTTTACGCTCTTACCGTCTTACGTAAACGTATCTATTTCACAACATTTTTGTTTGCATTAATATTAAATTTACCCACTATGCGTTCTGCGTTAAATGCATTTGCAAATTGCAATACACTCTTAAACTAGAATCACACTTTTGACAGCATATTTATCACTCCCATCGTGATGCTGATTTTACGTCTACCTTTAAAGCTCGAAAACCTATAACACTGTTTGGTATTCGTTTAACAATACTATCAAATGTCAAAATAGCTGAAAACTTAAGTCTAGTTCTTGATATATACATACAAGAGAAATCGAACTATTTGTCTATATGGTACCATTTGTGGCTATTCATTTTAAACAGAAATCCAACAGTTGTATATCTTCTTGTGGAATGGATGTAATGAAATCTTGCTTCTTTGTGGCTTGTTCGAAGAATCTCGAAACCTTCGTTGAATGATGTTTTCTCCTCTAAGATATGAAAGAACCTGACACATAATCCACTCTTACCAAAATGCTCCATCTTCTTGGGAACTCATAATTTCTTGGCTCTCGGCTCTCGCTCTCTTGCCAAATGCTCCATCTTCTTGCGAACTCATAATTCATTGACTGGTTTTCCTCTGTGAATCGATTCATCTCCGATAAGAACGTTCAAGTTTATGAATCAATAATGCTCGAAAGTGAAAATTGTGTTCCGATTTGAACCGTACGTTTTGTGTATGTCTTTACAGGCGACAAGCTTTAATGTGAATTACGAAATTATGGATAATAAAGATGGAGAGACGCTCCAATAATTTTGATATGAGGCAACAAAAACATGTTCCTTTGACCCAAACAAAAAAAAAGAGAGAAAAATGTTCAACCGGCATTACAGTAATACTTTACTGTCTACAACATTAAAACAAAAACAAAAAACATAAAAATCAAAATAAAACAACATGAAACATGTAATTGCGATGAAAGACTGCATAGATGAATGAACCCTATCAGGGACAAGTCTTTTCGTAACACATGTACTCACGAACGATGGACTGTCACTTATGGTGCTCATCAGTTTCCTTAACTTCATCAACATCCTGTATATAAAAAAAGAAAAGAATAATATGGTATTAGTTATACACTTTCACGTCATCACGTGTGAATAGTCATGCACTTTGAAGTGATCATGGTTAAATAATACAGTAGATTTTAAAATATTGACAAAAAGGAGATTTGACTTTTTTACGCACCATATCGTTTGTCCCAGAAGATGGTTGAACTTGGATCGGCTGATTTTCCTCCACAAGTAGCTTATTAAACTCAGATACCTTTCATCCAAAAAAAAAAAAAAAAAAAACTCAGATCACATGCAAGCTCGTAAAATAAAACAAAATCCATGCATATGTACATGAACACCGTGATATATAGTCATGGATTTATCAAGTCAAAAACCACACAAAATAATTATACAAAAAAAAAGAAAAAACAAATACCATGGAACTTGATGAACCCTGATGATATTCACCTCGACCACCACGGGAACGATCACTGCTATCAAAACCACGACTACCTTGTGGAATATAGGCGAATGAAATAGGAATCGCATCTATAACAGGTTCGTTATTGTCCACTACGTCGGCAACTACCACATCGTTATGTTGGACAGCTTCGTTGCCCAACACGTTGGTAATTACCATTTCCCTCCCTTGGACAGGTGCATTTTGTCCATAAAACCTTCTCGGCTGCATATAAACATCAATTTTTGTAAATAATTTGTTTCTCAAAAGTTTTTTAAAATTTTGAAAGATTAAACTGATATGTATTAGAATCAAATCTATGAAAATGAAAAAATGTAACACCTAATTACTTACTCCAATATATCGGAGTCGTCTTTCCTCTTCCGAGATGTAACGGAGAGCAGCAAGAGCAAGAACCTATTCATTCATTAAAAAAAAAACAAATATTATTACCATGTCATTTCAAAAGGAAAAGAAAACATAATTTGAAACCTACCGCTGATCTTGGTGGTTCAGAGCCAGAGTCATCAGACGAAGTTTTCTTCTCTTTCTTTGATGTTTTCTGAGACATGTAGGAACTTTTCTTCTCTTTCTTTGATGTGTTCATGAGATTTAAATCTGAAGTTTTTTTGTTGTTGTTGTAATCAGTCTTATGATTCAGAAGCCTTACTTTATCACCCTTAAATATTAATTGGAAACACTAAATATCTGACTAAATAGGTAATCCGGCTGGAGATGACTATTGAAAAAATCCCAGTCACCAGCAACTGTCCAGATTCACCCACCTTTCTGTATATTTTAACGTTCATTAGGAAAAATATCTTTCCAAAACAAAATTCCCTGAAGTGTTTGACCCAAAAAAGTTAACAAAATCAAATTTTTTTTTGGGTAAAATTACCATAACAAACTAAATTCTTATTTTACTAAAAAAAATCAAAATTCGAAATAAGAAATTCAATTAACCGTTGGAAGATTATATGACCATGCATACAATTTGAATGATAATGGGCGTTTTGGTCTCTTAAATGAATTTTGAACCCAACACAAGTCAAACTGAATTTGCCAAATAATTTACTTAACATAACTTTAAACTTTAAAGTCACCTCACAACAAAAAGTAAAATAATCAACTGAGCAAGCCTGAAAATTAAAATAACAAGAATTATTTTACTCTAATTTTCCCAGAGGGGATTCAAGAGCATGATCATCGACTAGCCATAGACCAAAGTCGTGAAAGCGTTTCATCTTATTGTCATAACCGACAATGTAGTTGTTGTGGACTATGACATGTTTCCCTTTTGTCTCTTTAACCCATGTCTCGTTCTTGAAGTACAATCCTCCTGTTGGAAATGCTGCCTGAGATAGCAAGTAGAGATCTACCTGCAAAAGTGATAATCACAAAATAGCTGAGAACGAACGAATTTAAACAAGTGACATAAACAATTTACATTTGAGTACCAAAAGGTTGTTGAGTCTTTCGAGATTTTAAGCTAACAATACCTGATGGGCTGTTTTGTTAAGGGCCCAGTTAAAAGCAGGCTGATCATTTCCTTCATATGCTTTGGAACCAGATTGAAGTTCGTCAATCCATGTCTTCATTAGAATCTTTGCGCCATTAGTGGGACGCAAGAAAATTGTACAGCTACATATATAAGTAACTCCGTTTCGATCCGGAATTGGTAAATCATGGGAGTGATTCAAAGGTTTAATCTAGCACCAAAATCAACCGGAAATAATCAAGATTTTTTATAAAACACTCTAAAATGTTAAGGAGATAGAAGTGTGAAATTCACATACTGTAGTCCTGTCATCGGAGAAGTATGCGTCGTGGCTTCCTTCAAAATACTGAAACGGATCTTGTAGCCAGACCATATCAACATCGTTGTACAAAACATTGTAACCTAGCTCCAAGATCTCCAAGAGATGTTTTGGCCTCCGTGACGTAAAATTGAAGAAACCCTAAATTTAGTATGATTAATTAGTCAAAAATATACGTTTTTATAAGATGATTATCTCTTTCAGAAACAGAGGATACAGAAACATTCAAAATCAGAAAGACAAATGGATGCACTAAGCTCAAAATCAAAACCGGAACCTGAGGGACTAGACAAACTTTATGACTTGAGTCACAAGTAACATTAAGTTATACGTAATGTACATGTATCAATCTACTTATTATGGTCAATTGGTTTTGAGTTGGAAACACATGACTTCTTAAACAGATAATTCAATATCTAAGTATGATGAAAAACAAGTATTCAATCTCAGATACATACATAACGCCCTGTCTAAGCCAGTTTTTTATGAACGGAGAGCTAAGGATATCTCAAGCTATAGACGCAATCGGATCTAAAAGGTGAAACTAACTATACCGGGGAACCGAAGTTTTGTGCGGTCTTAGAATCCAGGGCTGGAGGAATGAGAACGGCATGACCAGGCCACTTCTCGTTAACCTTGTAGAGAGTAGCGTAATCCTCAGCGATCACGAGAACTTTTTCTTGATGTTTCTGAATAGAAACGCTAATCAACCAATTGTTGAGAAATGGCAAGAAAGGATAGCTAACGGCGCAGACGATCACAGTCCCGTCCTTAGAGACGAACTTGGCCGCTTCAGCGAGGGAATAGTCGCGCCAGTTGGAGGGAAAATAAGAAGAGGAGCCTCTGTTTGAACCTGTCCAAGGTAAGAATACACCAACGAGAAAGAGGAGAGCGAGAAGGAGGAAGAGACCATTGCGGCTGAGGAGAAAGATGGGACGGTTTGAGATTGGAGAATATGAATGAGGAGAGGAAGAAGAGGAAGAGCTTTGGATTGGACGATGGTGAAGGACATGTTGCTGCGCCATTGTTGTGGAGCAGGACATGTGGGAAAATTAATAAATATACAACAAAATAGTCAACTATATTTTACGCAAAGGTAACATGTTTTTGGTACAAAATCCAAGTAGAGAAATAATAACATAATACATATTTCCCCTTTATCTCTTTTACAAGTTTGAATCGAATTCAAAAGTTGGCAATATATACTTTGACTTTGCATGAGCTTGAGTAATTTATAGAGTTGTGTCATTAATTATACTTTTCATTACTGCGACACATATATTTGAGGCAAAAGTAATTTTTTGGTATCCACATTAAGGAACTACTACTATATATATACTATTTATTGAAATATATACATTTACTAGTAATTTAAATCATTATATGCTCATTCTTTGCATGGGCTAGAGTTAATATGCATTTTTTTTTTTTTACAAAGTTGTCATATATATTCAATCTGGCTTGTTCATATAGGTTGAGGAAACACTATTTCATCTTTAGATAATTTCTTAAATTACATTTTACGCAATGAGCACCCATAACAAAAAGTAAATTATTTACTTAGTGGATATATCTTTCTTTGCGGTTTACGCAGCCTGAAAACTAAAATAACAATAATTTTTTACTCTAATTTTCCTAGAGGTGATTCAAGAGCATGATCATCCACTAGCCATAGGCCAAATTCTTGAAAGCGTTTCATCTTATTGGCGTAACCAACAATATAGTTGTTGTGGACTATGACATGTTTCCCTTTTGTCTCTTTAACCCATGTCTCGTTCTTGAAGTACAATCCTCCTGTTGGGAATGCAACTTGCGATAGCAAGTAGAGATCTACCTGCAAAAGAGTTGAGAATAATCGAATTCAAACAAGTGAAATTGAAGAATTTCAGTGATCGGAATTTTTCTGATGTTTATTCACAGAGCATGATTACAGAGTTATATACAGCCAAGAGAATATTGAGTTGCCGTAACAGAGGCAATCACAATTGAATGTACAAGATGAACTTAAGGTAACTAGATAAATCAATTACGTGCAGCCTAATGTTTCTGAGATACCGAATCATGTGAATGTATCTCAATACCTCCCCTCAAGCTGGAGCATGGAGATCAAGAATGCCCAGCTTGATCCGAAAAGCTTCAAACGCCTGGCGACCAAGAGGTTTGGTAAAGATGTCAGCCAATTGCTCATGAGTGGAGACATGATGTGTAACGATCTCTCCGGCCTGAATCTGCTCCCGTACAGCATGACAATCCACTTCAATTTGTTTTGTCATGAAAAACAGGATTGGTGCTGATATATATAGCTGATTGATTGTCACAGTACATTCCCATGGGTGTTGTGTGAGGAACACCCAACGATCTCAACACACTTTTAATCCAAACAAGCTCATCCTTAAGAAATGACATTGCTCGATATTCTGCTTCAGACGAAGATTTACTAACAATGCTTTGTTTCTTAGTTTTCCATGAGATCGGTGATTCACCAAGTTGAACAAAATAACCACTAACCGAACGCCGTGTTAACGGACAGCCGGCATAGTCAGAGTCACACCAACCTGAAATCTGGAAATTGTTCTCGGAAGACAACAATATCCTCTGTCCTGGATTTCCTTTGAGATAGCGGACAATGCGTAAAGCCGATTCCCAATGTGCAGCCCTAGGTTTCTGCATAAATTGTGACAAAATATGCACACTGAACGCCAGATCAGGGCAGTTGCAGCCAAGTAGATAAACCGCCCAATCAGTCGACGGTATGGAGTAGGATCAACCAAATAGGCAGACTCAGAAAGCGCCAGTTTCTTATGTTGTTCCAGCGGAAAAGATGCGGGTTTGCATCCTAACATTCCAGTTTCAGAGAGAATGTCCAAAACATATTTTCTCTGGCTGAGATAGAAACCCTGCTTACTCCTAGCCACTTCAATGCCCAAAAAATATTTCAAAGCGCCGAGATCCTTCATCTTGAAACACGAAGACAAATAATCTTTAAATTTCTGCAAATCTGTCTCCGAGTTTCCTGTGAGGATCATGTCATCAACATATATAAGGAGATTAATAGTTACTCCCTTCTTGTCAAACGTAAACAGGGAGTAGTCGGAATAGCACTGTTGAAACCCGTACACTCTCAAGGCTTTGGTGAGTTTCTCAAACCAACATCGAGGTGCCTGTTTAAGACCATAAATCGATTTTCGCAAACGGCACACATCCTGATCATCATTCGGATAAAAGCCTGGAGGTGGTTTCATATAAACCTCTTCGACAAGATCTCCATGTAAGAAGGCGTTGTGTACATCCATTTGGTACACCGGCCAATTGTTTCCTGCTGCAACTTTAAGAAACAAACAAACAGTTCCCATTCGAGCAACCGGTGCAAAAGTCTCACCGTAGTCTTCTCCTTCAATCTGTTTATTGCCAAGTGCAACAAGCCTGGCTTTGTATCGTTCAATCGTGCCATCAGCGTTGTACTTGATTTTATAGACCCATTTACAGCCAATTGCACGCTTTCCTGGAGGTAAGTCTTCCAACGTCCAAGTATTATTCTCTTCGAGAGCTTCTACCTCGCTGCCCATAGCTTTCTTCCATATTTTCAATTGAACCGCCGTTTTGAAAGAGCGAGGTTCAATGTTTTATGTGATGGCTGCAAGATACGCCGTGTGAGTGGCGGAGAAACGATTGCAGCCAACATAGTTTGCAATCGGGTAAGTCGAAGTTGATGGTCGTTTGAGCAGACGACTCTGAGCAGTGTTAATCACAAAATTTCGCAGCGTTACAGACTGCGTTTTCTTCCTCTGACCACGACCAAGAATTTCTGGTGGAGGAGAATCAGACGGAGGTGCCAGAGAAATTGATGGGGACGAGACCGGAGCTGAAGCGGACGATGAAGACTCAGATTCAGAATTCAAGGGCACAGACGGAGTCGACGGAGAAGACGATTCAGTGGAGATCGAGTTCTGAATTGGAGAGGCGTGACCAGAGTCAAATGATGGGTCGTGAGTAGATGGGCCTGATGGTATATTAGGAATTGGGCTCGCTGGAGTTGTACAAGAAAGCCCATCATCTTGAGCCAAAAAGGGGTTTGCCCCAAGTGGAGCCCAAAGTTCTCCTTCCTCATCGTGTAACTTTTCCGAACCTGAAACAGAGTTGCAGAGAAAGGGGAACTGATTTTCAGAGAAGATGACATCTCTAGACACAAAAAATTGATGTGTTTCCAGATCGTAGAGACGCCATCCTTTCTTGCCGTATGGGTATCCAACAAACACACACTTTCTGCTTCGAGAAGCAAATTTATCTCCTTTCGTGTTTTGATTGTGGGCATAGCACAAACTGCCAAAAACCCGAAGATGATCGTAATCCGGTGCCTTCTGGTGAAGCATTTCATACAGACTAAGACCCTGTAGAGCAGAATTCGGTGTGCGATTGATCAAATAGCCTGCTGTCAAGATGCAATCTCCCCAAAATTCTATTGGTATGTTCGCTTGAAACATCAAAGCTCGTGCAACATTCAAGATGTGCATGTGCTTTCGTTCTGCTCTGCCGTTTTACTGTGGAGTGCCAACACACGAGGTTTCGTGTGAAATCCCATGCTCTCGGAAAAATTTGGACAAGCTCAAGTATTCACTTCCATTATCACTCCTCAAGCATTTTACTTGAGACCCAAATTGCCGATCCGCCATGGCAATGAAATTTCTCAAATGAACTGGTGCTTCTGATTTTTCAGTAAGCAGATACAACCAAACACTTCGAGTGAAATCGTCAACAATTGTGAGAAAATACCGAGAGCCATTGTGTGTAGGCGTTCGATATGGTCCCCATAGATCGGAATGAATCAACTCAAAAGCTTTCGTAGTTTTATTAATGCTTGATGGAAAGGAACATCGTGTTTGCTTAGCGCGGATACATACGTCACACGCCTTATTGAAATTTTCAGAAAAAACAGGAAGGGAAACATGCTTAATGAACCAACGACTCTAGCAGAGGGATGTCCCATCCTATGATGCCACAGTTCATAAGACTTCTCTTCCCGAGTTGCAACAGCAGCAGCCAACTCTGTTCTGCGAAATCGAAAAGTTCCGGATTCTCTTTTACCCGCTCCAATCACCGTCCTCGAAACACGGTCCTGAACCACAAGAAACTGATCAGCCAATTGAACAACACAGTTATTTTCGTCCATCAACTGACCAACCGCTATCAAATCAGTTGTCAATTCTTCAACCAGAAAAACAGACTTCAAAACCAGATGAGAACCCAAAATTGCAGTACCCTCTGTTACAGAGATCCGTTCTCTACCATCAGCCAATATTATCAACACAGGATCCATATCCCTTAAATCACTCAAGATGTGACGATTTCCAGTCAAATGATGTGAGGCACCAGTATCCATTATCCAAGAAGGAGAAGGAATCTTACCCGAGAGTTTTTCGGTGGCGTTGGATTTTTCGGTGTTCAGGAGATTCATGAGTGCACGCCATTGAGCATCATTAAGTCCTTGAACTCCATCACGATCACGGTCGGTTAGAACATAGTTCGCTTGTTCGGTAGGCGGGAGCTGGGGAACCTGAACTGCATTGGCATAGTTCACACTTCTGCCTCGACCAGCATTTGCAGAGGAAACAGCTCCACCACGACCACGGCCTTGCATCGTTCTGGTCCTTGGACGCTCTCCCCACCACTCAGGATAACCAACAACAGCAAAACAACTATCCGATGGATGACCGGAACGATTACAATGTTTGCACAAGACAGGTCTAGCATGTTCATCACTACGAGATGGAGGAACACGAGATCTGGCTTGAACAGCATAGGCACTCACATCAGATGTTTCGTCTACACCCCGAGAGCCAATCTTCAAATCTTCCTCTTGACGGAGTACGTTGTACACCTCCTCCAATGGTTGAATTGGCGAGCGTGAAACCAACGTAGAGCGAACCGTGCGGTAACTGTCGTCAAGACCAGACAAGAACTCGTGAACCTTCTCTTCTTCACGATCTTGTTCTTGAAGGGATCCAAGTTGGCATTCACACTTGCCACATTTGCAAGACCTCAATGGTCTGTATTGAGCCATGTTGTCCCAAATACGGTTGAGCTTGCCGTAGTAAGCTTCAATGGCGAGACCGCGTTGTTTGCAGCATGCCAACTCAGCCTTAAGCTGTTGGATCCGAGGTCCGTTAGTCACAGAAAACCTCTTCTTCAGATGATCCCACAAATCTTTCGCCACATCACGATGAGAGATGTTCGATCGAATGGAAGGATCGATAGTCATTTTGATCCATGAGACAAGCAAAGCTTGAATCGTCCACCAGTCTTCCAGATCTGCAGAGCCTTCAGCTGGACGTGGAATAGATCCATCGAGAAAACCATATTTTTTTCGAGAGCTGAGTGCCGTTTTGATTCCACACGCCCACTCATCGTAGTTGGATCCTTTGAGGAGAGGATGTGAAATCACAGCACCAGGATTGTCAGCAGCAGTCAGATCGTATGGAGATGTCGGAGTCGGTGTCGGAGTCGTTGTCGGGTTGCCGTTGTCAGAACCAGTGACAGACATTGTGAGATCGTGTTAAAAGAAAAGAGAGAAAGAAAAAAAAAATTATCAGTTTTCGTGCTCTGATACCATGAAGAATTTCAGTGATCGGAATTTTTCTGATATTTATTCACAGAGCATGATTACAGAGTTATATACAGCCAAGAGAATATTGAGTTGCCGTAACAGAGGCAATCACAATTGAATGTACAAGATGAACTTAAGGTAACTAGATAAATCAATTACGTGCAGCCCAATGTTTCTGAGATACCGAATCATGTGAATGTACCTCAATAGAAATAAATTTTATACTTTTAATACCTGATGAGCTGTTTTGTTAAGGGCCCAGTTAAAAGCAGGCTGATCATTTCCTTCAAATGCTTTGGAACCAGCTTGAAGTTCGTCAATCCATGTCTTCATAAGAAGCTTTGCGCCAATCGTGGGACGCAAGAAAATCGTGCAGCTACATATATAAGTCGCTCCGTTTCGATCCGGACGTGGTAAATCATGGGAGTGATTCAAAAGTTTAATCTAGCACGAAAATCAAACAGAGAATTATATAGGAATTTTTATATTTTTTTGGATAAAACATAATGTCAAGGAGATAGATAAATGTGTGAATTTCACATACTTTAGTCCTGTCATCGGTGAAGTATGCATCGTGCCTTCCTTCAAAAGACTGAAATGGATCTTGCAGCCACACCATATCAACATCGTTGTACAAAACATTGTAACCTAGCTCCAAGATTTCCAAGAGATGTTTTGGCCTCCGTGACGTAAAATTGAAGAAACCCTAAATTTAGTATGTTAGTTAAAAAGATACGTTTTCATAGTAACTCAAGAACTTCTTTGTCAAGAGACGTAATCGGATCTAAAAGGTGAAACTATACCGGGGAACCGAAATAGCGTGCGGCTTTCGAATCAAGGGCTGGAGGAATGAGGACGGCATGACCAGGCCACTTCTCGTTAACCTTGTAGAGGGTAGCGTAATCCTCAGCGATCACGAGGACTTTGTCTTGTTGCTTCTGTCTAGAAACGCTAATCAGCCAATTGTTGAGAAAAGGTAAGAAGGGATAGCTCACGGTGCAGACGATCAAAGTGTCATTCTTGGCAGCGAACTTGGCGGCTTGAGAGAGGGAATAGTCGCGCCAGTTGGAGGGGAAAGAAGAGCTTCTGTTTGGAAACGGGATCAATGGAGATGTTGTCCAAGGTAAGAATATACCGAGGAGAACGAAGAGAGCTAGAAGGAGAAGGAAGAGACCATTGCGGCTGAGGAGAAGGATGGAACGGTTTGAGACTGAGAGGACCTGTTGCTGCGCCATTGTTGTAGCAGGAGATGAACAAGAAGGTTTTTTTCTGATCGGATTCGAAAGAGACAACAAAATAGTCAAAACTATATTTTAGGCAAAAGGAACATGTTCTGGTACCAATGTCAAGTATGAGAATAATAACATAATACACATTTGCCCTTCGTCTCGTTTACTAGTTTGGATCGTGTTCGAAAGTGGCAAAATTATATTCTTCTGACTTTGCATGAGCTAAGAGCAATTTACAAAAAATTTATTAATTATAGTTTTTCCTTAACGCGCTGTTCAGATACAGTATACTTTAGGCAAAAGTAATTCTTTTTGGATCGAAATTGGAAACTTTTGTCCAAGAAATTCGGAAATATTTTCTGAAAGTCTGAAAAATGGCATTAATTTTCTTATATATGCAAACTTTTTTTTGTAACATACTTATTAAATCAAGCAAACTTATCTTATATATAATTAGGGAGTTGCACTCTCCTCTTAGAGTGTCCACATCAGCAAAAAAAACAAAATAAATACAAATTAATTAAATCAAAATTAATGATTCAATTAATACATACATTTTCATAATATTATTGAATGATTTATTATTCAACCAAAAATATAAAAATATATTAAAAAAGAAATGATTAATAAAAATAGAAAAGACAAAAATAAATATAATTTGGTTGAATTTAATATTTAAAAGATTAAAAGTTAATCTTTAACAATAGATGCAAGAGATTTATTTTTAAAAGAAAAAAATGTTTAAAATTCGTAATAATATATATTATGTAAAAAGATAGTGTATGTAATAAAATTTTATGGAAATGTATATAAATGATGATGAACCAAAAATATATGTATACAAGCGCGGGGTATAATTCCTAGTGATAGGAATAGGATTAAACCTGAGACTCTTAATTACCCCTTTGCCAGTACAGCTTTGTTCTTTTTTCCCTACTGTTTCTGTTTTACTGTTAGCTAATTAAGTTAAATACAATAAATGGAAACAGCATAATTACAATTTCCATTAATTTTTATAAAATCAAACTACAAAAAGAAAGACAAATATGGAAACTTTGGTATGTATATATATTTGTAAGTTAATATAGGGTTTGCAAACTTTTTTCTTTGTAACAAACTTATTAACTCAAGCAAACTTATGATAGGAATAGGATTAGACGTGAGACTCTTACCCTACTAATATAAATATCATCACTAATAAACACTTCTCTTTATCTCCCTGAGAAAGGCTACAAACTTTCTATTTTTCTCCTTCTTCCCCATTAACTAACCTCAGAATCATCAATCATGACTATGAAGGTGACTCGACGGTCTCAAATCCCAGGTTCTCGTTTCAGTCCCACAAACGTGGAGCTCGTCAACATCCTTAGCCGGAGAATCGAGAGAAAGAAACGACCTAGTTTCATAACCGACATTCAAAACTTGTACGAGAAAGAACCCTGGCTTCTTCAGCACGTAAGACACCATAGATTCAAGAAGAACGAGTGGTTTTACTTCGTCAAGAGGAAAAAACCTCCGGGAACCAAAAAACCCGACTCGAAGAGACCGAGCCGAAAGGTGGTTGGATCTGGTAGATGGAAGACCACTGGTTCTCTGACTCAGATAAACGATAAACAAGGAGCCAAAGTCGGTTTCATGCAGAACATAACCTTCAAAGCTTATAGCGAAACAGAGAAAGATGGGATCACGACCGGTTGGGTGATGCATGAGTTTCTTTTGGATAAACCGGGGTTTCAAGAAGTGGTTCTCTGTCGAATCCGGTTTCACCCGGGTAAGGACAATAATGCTCAATATGCTCCAAGACTCGAACCTACAATAATTGGACAGCCACAACCCTCGCTCGAAGATAGTTGGACGTTGGTGAAGTATAACAAGAATGATGATGCTACTGGTGAAGATGTTGAATTCTTTGATGTTCCGGTGGAGACACAACCAGGCATGGATCATTGGTTCGGGCCTTGTTCTGTTGAGGTTGTCTCATTAGACTCCGATCCTACACAGAAGAATCAAGACTTGGAGAAGAAGCATCATAGCCAGGTCGTTGTTACATACTCGGTTCAGCCATATGATCCGTACTTAGGGCAGAACAATGAGTCAACGGCTTTTATGGAGACACAAGAAAAGGAAAATGTCGCTGCTCAGGATGATGTTCCTTTGATGATGAATCAAACCATGGAAGAACAAGACACGGATGTATCAATGAACCAATGTGTTGATGATGAAGAACCACATGGAGGCATTGTTGACTCTCTTAGTTACAACTATTTGACTGAACAATCTCTTGGAGACAGTTTTTATAAAGAGATGGATTCAGACATGTCTAACTTTGGGGATGAGGAATGGGTTAAACTGCTTGGAGAAAATACACCAGAAGAAGAAGCTGAGCTAAGAGCTGCTCTCGAAAAGTGCAAAACTCCTTTATCTCTCATTAACTACTTTTGTCCGAATAATTAGTGTAGCTTAAATAAAATACGATTAATTCATTCATTAGCAATGTGTTGTGTGAATTTTTGTTTTCCATAACAAAAAATTTATATACTGTAAATATTTGGATTTGAGTGATTTCGGTTCTGTTTGTTTTGTACCCTTAAAAGAGATGTTGTTTCTTCAATAGTTTTGTTTTTGTATGGATGAAATTGGACGATGTTTGTCTTAGCCATATCTTCTTCTCCTTCAACCACACTCATCAGACCATTTAAACGGAATGGGCTAAACCGGCCACCGGTTCGAAAAATCATCTGTCAGAGTCAGAGGCAGAGCAAAACCGGTACCGGAAAATCTTGGATCGTCCCAACAAGTCTCACGCTTTTTGGTTCAGGCTTCGTCTTGGGTCCTCTCCTCGATGGTCTCCACTCAAGTGTCGATCTTGTGGTCTACAAAAACGGAGCTTTGCAAATTGGTCCTCTTCACACCAACATCTGGGTAATCAAATTTCTCCAAAAACCAAAACTTTGAAATCTTTTCACAGACATTCTTATGTTGTTCTTTCCTATTCAGGTCCCGTTCTTGCTTGGCTTATTTTACTGCACAGTAGGTTTACTGCAACTCCTATTGGATGAAAATACCTCTGCAAAGCCTCCACGTGGCAGCCTGGACAAAACTATAACTTCACTGCTGTAAGTAGTAACTCTTGTTGTACAGTTTCTGTATTAACAGTTTTGGAAGTGAAAACTAACTCTATATGGTTTGATGATTGAAACAGAGCATTGGTGTTGTTCTTGGAGCTAAGTGCTGAAATGTACAAAGCTGGAGTTTCAGACAACATAGAAGCTTACATTCTCTTTGCCTTGGCTGAATTTATTTGGTTCTCTCTGGATAGAACTTGGCTTGGCTTCACCATTGCCACTCTTCTCGGCATTGCCTGTCCTTTAGCCGAAATCCCAATCATGCAGTAAGTAACAATCTCCTTAACAGTTAACAACAATCTCTCTGTTTCTACAGAATTAAGCCTAAAAGATTGACATGTAATCTGAAATAACAACAGATTCTTTCATCTGTGGTTCTATCCACAAGCAAACATAGAGATCTTTGGCCAGGTAAAGACTAAAGAAGAGTGTTTCTTTTTATACAAGCAAAAAAACAACATATAAAGAGTGTGTTTTTTTTTTTTTTTTTTTTTCTGGTGAAGGGATTGGTCACTTGGACAACAACTTGCTACTTTGTCTACACACCCTTCTTGATCAACCTTGCAAGATGGCTAAAGACTACTAATGATGTGGACATTACAGAATGAAATTAGCTCAAACAAGGAGCAATCGTTTCTTTGTTACATACATAGTGGCTTTCTAGCTTGTAAAGGTTACATTAGTTATGTCCTTGAACTTTTCTTTAATCGCCGCTCGTATTCCCATTCCAATCGATTCTGGTCCAACGTAATTCACAACGCAGTCCTCGCCTTCCACTGATAAGACTTCCACACTTCCTCCATAGTTCTTGATCGCTGGTCTCAGTATATCAAGATGAGCATTCACTGCCTGCAACCAACAACAGAACCAAGTCAAAACACAATCGCGGAATAAGACATGGAAGAGAAACAACACGAGAGAGTCTCTTAAAAAAGGACACACCTCCACGGTAATCTGCTTAACTTCTTCGTCAAAAACTTGTCGAATATCTTTCAAAGCATCTCCAAACTTCTCTTTGAGTACTCTCTCTATTCCCATCGTCATTGTTGTTGACGAACTCGGACAGCTGGTACATGCTCCTAAACACATACATCACAACTCAACATAAGCCCCAATTACATAACCTTTCAATTCTAAAATGTCAAAAGGCTAGAGCTTTTTTAAGCCAAAACTATGAAGCAAACATTTTTAGTGCATTTTTGTCATAATTGGTACTAAAAACGTTTGCTTCATCGTTTTGGCTCTAAAGATTTTGACCTTATAGAATTAAACGTTACTACATTCACACAATGGCATATTCAACAAAACACAAAGCCAACAAAAAGTTTCTATCTTGTTAAACGAAATCAGCAACCCTAACTTCAAAATCTGCAATATCGATTCATGTAATCGAAAGAGAAGAAACTAACCTTGAAGTTTGAGAGAAACGACGCCGTCTTCAACGGAGACAACGTCGACGTCCCCACCGTCGGCGATCAGGAACGGCCTAACATCTTCGAGGACCAAATCGACGTTTTGAGGCGTCAATTCGAAAGTCTGAGCTGAGTATAGACCCGGAGATTCGACGGATGCGAAAGGTGAAACCGTTTCTCCTTGGTTCGTAGCATTTATCACCAATCGGCGCAAAACCGCCGCTCCAGGGATCGATCTCTGTCTGTTATTAGCAAAAACTACAGATTTAGAGCTTCGATCGGATACTACATGAAACCCAATTTTCGTTGAAGAGGAAGAAACAAGAATTTTGGAGCTTCCGGCTATGGAAGTCGCGAGAGAAGAAGCCATCGTTTGGAAATTCCGATTAGCGACGAGTTTTATGTTTCTGTGGCCACGAACTAAACAAAGTTAATAATTTGCAGAATAGTCCCTTCAGTTTGCTTTCCTTTCAACTAGAACTAGAATGGTCCCTTGATTTTAAACGGGTTTTAATTAAAGGACCATATCAGAAAATGAAGCCAGTAGACCCAACTAATGGGCCTAACAACTTAATTGCTTACGACCCAGTCCATTTAAAGGGAGAAGACACGTGTCGGTAACCAGATTTCGTTCACGTTTTGTTGAGTATCAAATGATTGACTTTTCCTTATTTTGATCTATTTTCCTATTTTGCAAGTTCCAACACAGTTGTGTGTTTACCAAAATAACATAATGCGACAGTGATGACCACCACCATAGACATTTCTAATTCTGTTAAATTCCTTATGGGCTAAGACAAATGATTTCTGCTGTACCAAATTTATTGTTTCCTTTAGAGAAATTGATACATTACAAGATATAATAATATTATAATTATCGGATCCCCGATCAAGTGGTGAAATTGACCAAGAAACTATACAATTTCGTCAACCGTACTGTAGACTTCTTTCCACTTTCTGTCAGAACAATACTAAAACCGAAACCGATATACTTTATAAAATTATTATCCAATGCAAGTGTCGACTGACTAAGTTTCCTTTTTATAGGTGGTGTATTAATTCCTTTTTTCCACTTCACATGGTGGAAATTTAAAACAATTTTTCCAAATTGTTTCTCTTTTTCTTTTCTACTTTTTTCCAGTTGACATGCTAAAATGGTTTCTAGAACCGTAGGCTACTGAATTCAAAACAGATTACGTTACGTTTTGTGTACAATACTTCTATATAACCATTTTTCTTTGACAATGGAATATATGAAATTAAGAAAATACTTTTATGTAAAATTTATTAAAACCTACAAAAAAATGTGACAGCCATCTTGCTTTTATAACAATGAGAACAGGTTGACCCAAAAAAGGCAATATCAATGAGAATAGAGAAAGATATAAAATGGAAGGGAAAAAGCATTTAAGACATATTTTACGGCCGATATTTGAACCTAAGGACGAGCATGTCGTTGTAGCGATGGTGACGAACAGAGATTAGCTTATCTCAAACAGTCTTGTCGATGTAACTGATCATAATTCCAGATGACAAATCAAAATAGTTAAGTACAGTTTATAGTTATACCAACAATGTATAATAATTATATACAGTACAAGTCCGTTTTTGCTTGTAGCCATGACTTAAAAAATGAGTTTGATTACATTATTTGGGCTATAGACCGTTATAGCATTTATGATGCATGTGACAACCAACCACAGCGCATAAATTAAATTGCAATTCTTGACGTGTCCCAATTGATTACTACATATACAAAAATCATATGTAACTTTTTTTTATATATTTATTTGTGGACCATATTGTGTTATAAATGTACTAGAACGGCAGATGCATATATACTGTCGTATAATTACTCAAAAAGATTCTGGATGATACTATAAATTAATAAACCATAAAGATATACATTATTGTGAAAAAGATATATAGTTACAATTATGTAAAATGAAAATAAAGCATTGACTGTACTTCACACACGAAAAAACGAAATTTCACTCTCAATCCTAAAAATATATTTATTTTTTCTTAACTACGCCGTTATTACCAGCCAACATCAAATACTTGTCCTTTCTAGTGAGATTGGTGCACTCGAATTCCAATGCCTTCCCAATATTGCTCTGAACATGATTAGCCACTTCAAACTTCAAGTTCCCATCAGGATCTTGACCCGTGGCACCAGAGACAGGGTCCAAAAATCTAACGGTGTAGGTAGGGTTCGGATCCATGAGAAAGAAAAGCGGGTCAAATGCCTTAAAACCACTTGCCGTTGTTCCATAGAAGAAGCTCACGTCTACCGTGACGGCCACGGGAACGATGACGTTACTAACCTCGGTGAACAAAGGACTAAACCTAAGCAAAAAAGGTTCTCTACAAGTGGTTCCTTCAGGACAAACCACAAGGTCTCCTTCGGTCAACAGTCTCTTCATGGCTTGGCCGTCGTTGACCCGATCACGTGTAAGTCTAACGGTCTTGATCGGAGCCAGAATCTCCGATACTCTACTCAAACTATACGTTACGGTTTTGATGTTTTTCTCTTTTAGTGCGAAACCAACGTAGAGAGGGTCCAGTAAAGTTCTGTGGTTACAGGCAAAGAGACAACCTTTGCGTCCACTTGAGTTTAACTTTTGTGATGAAATGTCGTCGATGTTGACGGTTAGTTTGCAACCGGAGAAAGAGAGGATTGGGATTGAGAAGGTGTAAGGGATGCAAAGTGAGACAAAGAGTCTTGCTGCTGCGGCTACGACTGCGAATGGACCCCACATGAACAAGACAAGAGTGTTCATTAGGGTTGGTTTGATTGCGAGACGACCATCGTGGAAAATCAATGGTTTAGGGTATTGGCTTTTTGGTAGGGTTTGCCAGCTTCTCTTGTCCGATTTCTTCACAAAATATATCTCCTGTTAAAAAAAAGGAGAAAATAAAATTTAGTTGAGTACATGAAAACAATGAATGAAAATACCTAACAGGATCAGATATATATAAGTGCTGGAAATTGAAAACCACAAGATTTATTTCACTGTCATGATAGCTATAATAATAACTATATACACAGGTTATGTCGCCGTTTCTTATCCGTATTTAATAATATTGGTCGTGATCTGTTTTTGTTTCCATTTTTATGTTCAAATTAAAAGAAATATAATGCAAGGTGTGTCTGATGCCGTCATCACTTCAACTGTTCATATGCTATGTCGCTTTTACTAATCAAGAGTATAATAAATCATATCATTCGCATCAAGCACACAGAATATATCGTTTGCATTCGTATTTATTAGTGCAAACATTTTTATGTTGTTTTTTTTTATCGAATTAGTATTACTTCTCTTTCAAAAATGAAGTGTTTTTTAATATTACAAAATACTTTATTTAATTTAAAGTCAAAGTTTACAAAGAGATATATAAAACTAAGATTCAACATATCTTTACTTGTTAGCATATTTTGTAGTTAGTGTGAAAAGTGTTAAATCCACGCTGAAATGGAGAGTATATATCGTTTAAAATGTAAACGTAAAATGCAACAAAATAATAAAGAATAATAAAAATACGAACCTCGCAAAACTGAGAGAATAGATATCGGTGAAGAGATGTGTTGAAGGAAGTGATGCCAACAACACAACCCGTGCTTAGTCTCTCTTTACGAACCAACTCATCAAAGACAAGATCATGTTTGGTCTTTTTCTCCATGATCCCTAAGTAATAACCACCAACGACCTTCATTTCTCGTCCGACCAAAACTTCAATCTCCAAGTAATCTCTCAAGAACCCTTCGATCATAACTTGAGGAAGATCATCACTCACAGCGATTCTCTTCCCTCCTTTTCTCAACACCTCGAACATTTCGAGCCCGACATCTTCTAGAAAGAATTTAGGCAAAACCGCTCTCCCCGCATTAAAACCATCTTTTCTTACCCCGAAGAAGCTCACCATTACCATCACTTTGACACCCATCTCATGGCTCATCAAGCTTATCAGTGGATAGAGAATGAAGAGGAGAAATGACCTTAGTACACCTCCGGCCTCGAATGCCACTAGCATGAAGTAAGGGAAGAGAGATTCGGATTTGAGAAGAGCTCCTTCTACGTTGAAGATCAATGTGTGGCGTGATAAGTCGGATTGGAAGAGAGAAGAAGGGCCTTTTTGGTATTTTTGTTTAGGGTTCCGGTATTTCCTGAGGATAAACCGGTAGAATAGGAAAACAAGAGCTTGGAAAATTGGAATCTTAGCTGACATTTTTGTGTTTTTTTTCAGAAAGCTTTTCTTTTCTTTTTTCGTGTATATGTTCTTTGTTTAGTTTTAGACACTGCATGTCGGAGAAGAATTGAAGTGGTACTTATATAGCAAGACCATGACGAAGTTACCCATAAACGTGTTGGGTATTTACGAGAGAATGCCATTGATTGTTAACGTACAGCTTGCTTGATTATACCATTAAATGAGATTTATCAAGTGAACATGTGAATAGTATATTTGAAAAGTATACGTACGCGTGTCAGCGTAGACAAAAGGTTTGGTCGCAGAGAGCCAAAGACGAGTACGAGTCAAAGCTTTTGTGTTTATTTCTAATTAAACTTTAAGTAGACTTATTTTGGGGATTACATTAGAATAACTCGAGTCAAAGTTTGTGTATAATCAGAGATTAACACCAGATAAGTACGTGGCTAAAAGTGTTTGTTCCACTTGTGTGTATACAAATGTTATCATCATTTTCTTAACAAAACGAATCTGCAACGTCAGTACAAGTCTGTACATTTTCACTTACCAACCAATAATATATTTCATGGAGATCCGTTTAATGTTGCGCATTACATGGAATGGTTATTTTTAACTTTTATTTCGAACTACTATCAGTAGTATATCATTATGTTGGAATGTTTCATTAAATAGTTTGAAAGTACAATAACTTAACTCAAGTAAACTAAGACTAATGATGGAGAAATCATACGACTATTAGTTTATATCTCGATATTGATTGATGTGTTAGGAGTTAGGACAAGTTGATTTGTGTTTTGTTTATCGGAGAAGGAAAAATAAAGGGTCCACTTACATACAAAATTAGCTTATCTTGACACCAAAACAGAAAGAAAATAATCTGTCCTACAAATATTAGCAAATCAACAAAAATTAATTGTCTGTCCAAAAATAATTGCTAATTAAATGAATGTAGCCCAAAAAGTTTTAAGATCCAATGAATACCACATAAATGATAACTAAAATATGTATATGAACTTTCTCAAAATAATTCCAAAATTTTTAAAGCAAAATTATGGTAGATGTTTCTATATACTAATCCTGGAAATGACGAGTCTTTTGAGCACAATCTCTTTTTATATGGGTATACACAATACAAATATTATACAGAATCGGTAAAAACTAAAACTGTAATTAAGAAAGTGTGGGGATGATGATAATAAAGACCGTTAAAGCGCATTGAATGCGAAGGAGTCGCCATCCACGTTTAAAGGGTGTGTGCGTGGGCGTGGGATGATGACGATCTCATTCTAACTTGAGTTTTATTTTTATTTTTTGGAACTTTGGAGTTTGGTCAAATGGTTAAAATATTCATATCAATTATTTGTTCTTCGAAATATTAAACTAAGTGTCGGTTATAATATTACTAAATTTATACACAGTTTGAAGAATTCACATTGCTATTATTGTAGTTTGTTAAAAAAAGTACATTGCTATCATCTCCTTTCATCTCAGCGAACAACCAACCACGATTGACTCTCTTCCTGGCGAGGAATGTCTTTCAAGCCACCATACATAGTCTATGGCAAGAAAGAAACTCTCGCGCGGTCATGGGGAACAACCACTCTCTGTGAATCAACTCATCAAGATTATTGAACAAATATGTCCAAAACTGTATCTCCTCAATAAGATCGTTGGGAGATACAAAGTATGAAAACACCCTCCATCTTTGGTTTGAAGCAAGAAGGTAGGATTTACATTTTAAATTTTCTTTCTAACTCTCCAATTTAAGCTGCCATTGATGTAAACTAAGATATGGTTATTAGTGTGTTTCAAACTTGACGTCTTGACCAATACGTAAACCAATGACTGCTAAGAATATCCACTTAATTTAGATTTCGACTATATATGAACTCCTTGATTTTGATTTTTTTTTAAAGTCTTATAGAGCTATCAACATTGATTTCATCATTCATTCGCTCGTAGCGACTCTTACCTACGCTATCAACAGCATTCCAACTGACAAAGATGAAATATTCTATATATCAACAGCATTCCTACTGAAAGCAAAATAAGACATTAAACACATCAAACAAAGAAAAGAGTCAATACGTAACTTTGTGTTATTGAACATCATCCGCGAAGTCTCTAATCAGAATTTTTTCTTAATAAGTCAATGTAGTGAGTTAACAGAAACACCGGTAAATAAAGATTGTGGATTTGGTAGACTGATATTCACAAAAGGATCTATGGATAAATAACAGTACACATTGCTATGATACCATGAAATAGGTTGACACCAAATCTAGTGTTAACATTCAATTTGCTATACACAAGCTAATTTGACATAGATGGTTAGTGTAAATAGATTTACACTAGAAAATATAAAATTATACCTGGATATAACCATTTCGGAGATATATTAACACTTTAACAGTAGGAGTAAGAATCTAATATTATTAAGTTTATAAAAAAAACATAAAAGACAATAGCCAAAAAGAAAATAAATAGATAGAAGACAAAAGACAAAGGTCTAAAGAACGGAGGGTGCCCACTCAAGGCGTTATCAAGATCTAGCTAAAGTCCAAATATCATTGTTGTAAAACGCAACTCTAAACTTATAGTATATAGTTTTTTTTTTGGTTTTAATTATAGTATATAGTTTGTAAGAATGAGATGTATATTTTATTTTATTTTGTGATGGTCAAAACCCAAACATAATCAGTCATATAGCTAGAACCTAGAAGAAGGAATTACCTTAGGATATAAACCAATTAGACAAGAAAAGTTGACAATGGAAGAACATAACAATGCAGAAAGAGTTGACTCGAGAAGCACGGTCCATAGATGGTGCAAGAGAAAGCTTGGAGTTGAAGATGAATTGGCTTAAATTAAGTGGATGTAACATGCAATGTACTGTACGTTGTTGCAAAAAACGGAAAAAACATTGCAATGTCGTACATTGCCCTCTTCATATAAAGTAGTATAAACTAATAAAAGTAAGGTTGTACGTACGTACCTCGAAAAAGAAAACAAATGAAAAGTTATCTTATGAAAAAATATGAAAATTTTCACGACATGGGTGAAATTTAATGCAAGTCGTCTTTCTTTCATGTGTGTTTAGGCCATTTCCATCATTAACCCAAAAAGGGAACACTTATTTTTTTGCCAACACAAAAAACCTACTACAACTGTTCTAAAGAGAAAAAAAAGTATTATAACAGATAAATTTAAGAGTACCGATCGAAAGTTGGTAATGCTAAATATACATGTGTGTGTATGTGGATGAGAAATTTAAGAGATATATATATTCAGAGTACCCAATGTGCCCAACTGGGATGATTTGGTCCAAAATGAGTTTTAATTCAATTTCTATGATATATTTTTGTTTTCCCACTAAGATAGTTAAATCTCCATACAAAACAACCAAAAGTGGTAGTTGAGGTATGTATTAATACAATAAACCATCCGATTTTGTGTATAAATTAAAACTATTTGAATTATTAAACTATGAGAAAGCTGATTTTCCACAAACTAATCTAATAAAAAAAAAAAAAAAAAGAAGGTCTCGTCTAGTAATTTGTTTGAGTGGATAGATGATGAGTAATGATTGTTATTCCAAATATTAGTTAAACAAATAGAAATAGTTTTGTTCCACTCATTCCTCTTGAAAATGGTAGATTAACAAACAAACAAAACAACTGTTAACAGTTTCAGTTTTTTCTCCAACATGATTACTTTTTTTTTGTTAAAGGTCCCAGCATAATTACTCGAAATTATTTCCAAAAAAACTCATTTAGCTAATTGTTCCAATAATGTTTGCCCCGCATTGAAATTTTGTTTTAAATTGATGAATAAATGACTCATCTACCCTGATAAATTCTTCCAACAACAAAGAAAAAGTCTTTGTAAATGCTGAAAAAGACAGCACTGCCAATTATATTCGACAACGATTTAAACTGCCATTACACCTTTTCCGACATAATCTTTGAAGTTGGTTTCTGTTTTTCTTTTGTATAACCTACCAGAAATGTTTGTATAGTTAGAAGAATAAAAATGGTAGAATTTCACATTTTAACAAAATTCTTTATCATTTTCTTCATAAAACGTTAGGAACATGATCAAGTTAAAAACACACTAGGCTCGGATCTTGATTACTCACATAATACCACAAAACTATCTTGATTTTCTTTGGCTACTAAACGATTCATATGATAGATAATCCCTCAAATGTTGATGTTCAACCATCATCTTATGCCTCAATTTCTTGAGATAATGATGCCTAAAAAACATGAAACAAGCAATGAAAAAGGCTACCATCATCGTTTATGCAAACGAGCTAAGTCGCTGTACAAAGCCTAAACTTAAAAAAGAGTACAGATTCATGGATAAGAACATATACAAGCAGAGCAACACAGAGACAAAACATGTGAGTCAGTGAACACAAGAACAGAGCAAAAGGAACAATAAGACTGATGTCAAGAATTTACGAACAAAACAAGAACATTAAGTACTGTTTGTTTTTGGTTAAATTACAATAATCCGAAGATAAACTCATCTAAGTAACTTCTCTTGTGTTTTCTTCATTGTCAGCACCAGAAACTCTCTTATACCTGAAATTCACACACAACATCATCAAAATTTCTCAAAGACAATTTGCTAAATCTGTATAGAAACCGTTCTCTCTGAGGCTAAGTTTCTCACCTGAAAGACGTAGATGGGCTGGCATCGATTCTCTCACGAGGAGCAAACTCATTGTAGAACTGAACAGAGACCATACGGTTGTTATTGGATGAAACAACTGGTGCAGGAGAATTGTCAGAACTCAAACTTGCATTGCTTCGGAATAACCCTGCAAAAGAGAAGTTTGATGAAACAACACAAGCTTTAGGTCATTTAACAAGCGGACACATGCATAGAAACCAAAACAGATACCTAATGTAACATTTGACCAAACATCTCCAAAGCTACAGCAAGAAAGACTTGCTCTTTAACTCCCTAAGCAAACTTGCAACAGAGAAACTTAAAAATGGTGTTTTTTTACCTTGAAAGATGAGGAAGACGAAGAAGATAACAGTCACTATCATGGCGAGAACGCTACTACAAGGAGACGAAGACTTGGCTGCTTTCATTCTTCGCAACGTTTTCATCCTTTCAATCCTAGCACGCTTCCTCATAGCGAGCTCAGCGATTTCCCTCATCAGCTTCTGGTCATTTGCAGTCAATGCCGGACCTTTCGGAGGTCTCGGAGGCTTTGAAGAAGGCTTCCTCGTCTTCTTAACCTTAACGTTATCGAACTTCACATCCGAAAGGTCCAGACTTTGACTGCTTCTTTCTCTCCGCGTTCCGTTATCTCCCAGTAACGGCTCATCATCAGTCTTTTCAGAGCCATCGAAACTCAAACGTCCACTCCAAACTTGATTCAGAACATCCTCTGGTTTCTCTTCTGACGAAAGGAGATTCGTCGTGATCTCTTCTTGGTTGAATCTACCATCTTCAATGTCTACATCAAGAAGATCTTCTTCTTCCCCTGAAACAATTTGATCCATCTCGAACAACACACAAACTCAAAAGGCTTGCTCTTTAAGCTCCTAAGTGCTCCTAACATACAAATTGAGAATATAGCTTAACAAATCACCAACAGAGCTGCAAAAAAAGAAGAAAAAAAGCAAAATCAAAATTTGATTCCGACAATGGTTCAGCTAAAAACCTAAAATCTCCGAACCTGTTGAATCATGTTTCCTAAATCCTATCATTTCTGGAGCAAATCAAACGAAGCAAAAAGTTTTGATATTTTTAAGGAATTTCATTTTTCAGCAAATAAGATTCTTCCGAAGAACGAACGAAACAACATATTGTAGAGAGAAACCTCAAATATATATTAAAGGTTTCAATTTTATAAGCAAACTCGATAACAGAACAGAGAAAAATTATCCAGACAACGAACAAGCTCAGAAACCTTAAAAAACTCACGGAATCAAGCATAATCGCCGGGAATGTCGAAAGCCCTCGATGCTGCGAGGTACGAGGAAGACGAAAAGGAAGAACTTTGAATCCAATTTTGGGAGAGGAAAGAGAGAGAATCTAAAGAGAGAGAATCTAACCCAAAATTAGGGTTCATATGGGTCAAAAACTGATTTTCTTTTTTCTTTTCCTTTTTTTTTTTGTTTGTGTCTCTCTCGACTATATCCACATTTGTCTTTTGTTTTCTTCAATATATAAATAGAGAAAAACACAACATACAAGAATGTCTTTTGGATTTTATGTCGCCGAACGAAATTGAAAAATTGGAAAAAAAATATTAAAACTTTCAAGACTTTGCCAGCTTTCTTCAGAATCTTGCGGACTTTCGGGTCTTCTTATTATTGTTTTCTTTTCCTAATATTTTAATTTTTAAATTAGGGAAATCAAAACACATCACTCTGCTAAAAATACCAATTAGCCTCTCTTTTTTCTTCTGTAAAGTGAGTCACTAAACATGGATAAGCTTCTTTATTACTTTCTAACCTAATTGGTTGTATCCACTATCCCATTCCCATGATTAACTTCTAAAATGTATAGTCAATATTTTCACTGAACAACAAAAAGTAAGTATCTTAATTGACATTGTAGCTCTAAACAAATGGCTAACGGGGTTATACATTGTAAGTTTAAGAAGATCTTGTAAAAGTTTTATACTTTGCTTTGCTAAAAGCCTGAAACAAACAAACAATATCTTCTCTGGTTGGTGGCTGCTAAGATAACTGGATGGGATAAGATTTTGTTTTGGTTTCTGTTTAGACTGTACAGTTGCTGATTGAAATGAATTGAATAAGATTAAATAATTTGTAAACTCTTTTGTTTTGTGAAAACTATATATGAAAGTTGTTCAACAATGTTGTTATTGAACTACTACTAATATGGCTCTAGTAGTTACTCTACATTTTTTTTTTTGATAAACTGTAAATTATATTATCAAAAGAAAACGTTTTACTACAAAGCATCAACGCAGAGGACTTTTTTGGCCAAAAAAAGTGTAAAACCAAAAGAAGTACAAAAAGAGCCGAAATCTAATAAGAATTAGTTATGGGTAAACCATGCGAATAGGAGAAGAGAGCATCCTTTCCTGAGTCTTCTTGCCAAGAGGGTGTCTCGAATGCTTCTATCAATCTGTTTGAATAAGATAGCTGGCGGGATCGCAATGCCACTATGCAACCTGCAATTTCTTTCCTTCCAGATGTTATAGACCGTTGCCTGGGAAGCCAATCTTTTAAGAAGTTTTGCTTCATTGCCGCCCTCTCCATGGAGGAGCCATTCCATGACATCGTTCCAAGAAAGGAATCCGGGAACAGGGGTACCAAAACGGCGCAGAATGAAACCCCAAACCTGGGATGAGTATCGACAATGGAGAAACAGATGGTCCCTATCTTCATCATACGCTGAGCATAGTAAACAAGTAGTGGAGATGTTTAATCCCCAACTGGCGAGTCTTGTTTTAACAGGTAATCTATCCAGATGCGCAGTCCAGAAATTGAAAGCATGCTTGGGCACTCTGTTCTTGAACCACACAGCCTTTGTCCATGGTTTGAAGGAGCTTCTTGGTCTAATAACCTCCCACGTTCCTTAGTTGAAAACTCTTTTGATTTCTGGTTTCCAGGACCCCAAAGAAAAGAGTCCTCACCAGTTTGATTGTTTAAAACCTGCCTAGATCTCAGAATGTTCCTCACATCCCTGATATTCTGGTTTCTAAAACGTGACGGGGCTTCCCAGTCATGGGAAAGAATCGCTTCTGCGACAGTAGCTTGAGCCGGGATTCCCATAAGTCTCGGACCAGATTCTCCAAGATAAGATATAAGAGGACCATGGTCAGTCCAATGATCATACCAGAAGCTTGTGTTTCGCCCATTTCCGATCTCGCAACTAATGAAAGAGCTCGCCAACCCCTTTAGAGAGAGCAGAGACTTCCATAGCCAAGAGTCAGAATTTTTGGACTCAGCAGACCAGAAGTTTTGTCTTTTAAGCCTGTGTTCTCGCATCCAAGCAACCCAAAGAGAGTCTGTGGAAGTGAAAAGGAGCCACACCAACTTTAGGTTTAGAGCCCTGTTCCAAACAACAAAATTTCTTAAACCCAAACCCCCTTCTGGTTTAGGGAGACATAGCCCCTTCCAAGAGATTTTTGCTGAGGTCTTCTTCGATAAATCTCCCGCCCAAAGGAACTTATTGCATAACTTCTCGATATCCTTCAGGCAGCCTTTAGGGAGAGTAAAAGCACTAAACCAAAAGTTCACAAGACTATAGATGACAGAAGATATCAGTTGAAGCCTCCCCGCAAAGGATAATCCTTTAACTGTCCAGTGGTTGAACTTGCCTTTGATCTTATCGGTAAGAGGCGAGTAATCAGATTTCCAAAGCTTCCGGTGGAGGAGAGGTAACCCCAAGTAACGGATAGGTAGAGAACCCTTGCGGAAGCCAAAAATGCTTAGAGCTTCATCTTCCTCAGGGTTCAGACCTGCTGTGAACAAGTCTGTTTTGTCCCTATTCATGCTCAAGCCTTGGGGTTTCTGCCAAGAGGATGGAGACCAATGCTTCCCGTTTCAAATCTTGAATTCAGAAGATTTGAATAGACTTCCATCGCCATTACAAACAGAGAAGGGGATAGAGGATCTCCCTGCATGAGACCCCTAGATCCTTTGAAAAAACCGCATAGCTCGCCATTAACATTTATGGAGAAAGAATTTGTAGTGATGCATTGAGAGATCCAATTTGTAAAAACTGGAGGGAAATCTGCTGCCCGAAAGATTTGCTGAACAAATTCCCAGTTTACTGAGTCAAAAGCTTTCCTCAGGTCCACTTTTAGAAACCCTCTCTTCGAAATATCTTTTCTGTTGAAACCCTGCACCATTATACTTGAAGAGTTACTCAGGTCCAATGTAGTTACTCTACATTGTACTTGAAGAGTTAAAAATATTCTTGTCACATCTTACATAATTCAATTATCAATTAAACATAATTCGTATGTTCCTAACTGCATAATAATCCAAATCAGCTATATGTTTTTATCTATTTTAGTTTTGTCATCCGTAAGATATCCTTGTTCGGACACATGTATATATTCATGTATGTGTCTACAAAAAATAGCCGTTACGGTCCCATTGTCTAATGACGCACGTTGTCCAAAGGTCAACATCATGGGTCCACTAACATTGACTAAAATACAAACACAAACAAACAAAACTCTTTTCTTTGTGGGCAATAGTGAGATTCTCTAATAAACAAAAATATACCAAAGGATAATTTCAAAATTAACTTCATGACAAAATCATATAAATAAGGTACTACTCGAACCCTTGCGATATGAAACTAATCGAACCGAAACTACAACACTGATTGGACTGAACAAAAAAGAACCTCAATCAAAATTCATTTTGAAACTGAACTAAAATAGCATACCAGCTGAAGTAGATATTATAAATTTTGCTTAAAACTTCTCCAAATTAAAGAATAAATAAAAACCAAACAGAACAGAAACTTCGGATATTTTAACACCCAATTTCTGATAACACAATTCCGAAAAGAAAGAAAAAACCTAACAAATTCTTAGAAGGTGAAAGAGAGATGAGAGATGCCACCAGAAACTTCAACCCAAGGAACATAGATATTGAGTTTACCAGTTTCTTCTTCCCACATAAACTCAGCTTCCTTGTCGTTCAAGTAACACATCTTTGGAGCAGAACTCGAATACGCCATGAATCTTCCTTCGCCTTTCAAGTCAACCTTAACGCTGTTATCACCAGTAACCTCCATGTCTTGAATTGTTCCAACACAATTGAACATGTTGATCAACCCTAGAGGTGCAAATCTAACCCCAGAGCTTCCCAGTTCCGTGACTGGCACGAAACTGAACAGATCAAACGAAGATGGCTCTAGGGTTATCTGGATCGGGTCTGATTTCGAGTTCATGAAAAGGATTTCCTCGGATTGCATCTTGTAGACCAAGTAATCTCCGGCGTAGCTCATCTGAGAACCTGCAGCTTCTGGGTTTTGATCCCATTCGATGTCTGAGACATGAACTGTTCCTGAAACTGTCTGGTAACATTCTTTGTATCCCTTGAACCTATGCTCCTTTGGGCTCCACCCAGATCCTTGACAGTTAAATGCTCCAATTACTCCTCCCAACTGAAAAGAATCATCAAAAGTTTAAATAAAGTCTCAATCTTTAAACATTTCGATGAAACTGATTATATACCTTGTTGAAGTTGAAGATCTTGAGCATTGATTCTTTGTCAAACAAAGGGTTCTTGAAGAGAGAATCTCTAGTGGGAAGAGCATAGTGAAGACACCTTGGGACGGTACCATCAAAGTAAGCAAGTTTCTTGATGAGATCAAAGTTATGCGAGGCTTTGCCAAGATGGTCACTGAGGTAGATGGGGCCACCAGAGATAGCTCGAGAGGCGGCGTGGTACTCGGCACACACATGGTCTGATTGGAACATGTCCCAATCTGGTTGAATCATTTGACCCATCCAGAAACTGTTGTAAGAACAATGAATTATGTGTAGTCCTTGTAGCCAGTACACTCCTTGTGGGTCACCATGTGGGTCTTGCCACCAAAAGTCATCACCTAATAAAAATACAAAATTTATAGGATGCTTAGAAAATTAACAGAAACAATAGAGGTAAAAGCAGAGTTACTATGTAGTATTATTACCAACTCTGCCAATAGAGATTTGCTTTGTGGCAAGGAAGAAGAATTCGTTGCACTGTTGCATACTAGCAAGGATTTCAGTTCCATTGAAATTCTTAACCATGGATTTGGTCAAGCCATCGTAGTAAGCTTTAGCAAGCTCCACTCTTCCTCCATGTTCTTCTGCAACTGACTCTAAGGTCTGAAACCATACACACATAAATTTTATTAACAAAAAAAACAATGTAAATGTAAAAACGAAACAGAGGATGTAAGAAGTAAAAACTTACTTGGAAGACATCAATCTTGGCTCCTGTAACTCCAACACTAGTAAGATAAGAGTGCATTGAATCGTAGAACTCATGAGCTTTAGAAGGGTGAACAAGACCAATCCCAGCTTCCACAATCCTGTCGACTGCGAGATCAGTCATTGAAGCATCTAGACCAGGTGAAATCTCAAAAGGAACAATCTTGGTCTCCAAATGTGTCAACGTTTCAGGCCTAACACCATTCCAAGCACCGCACAGAGCATGCCACACATATATATCCTCTAAACCCTTAAACCTTGACCTCAAATCCCTTGTGAAAGCCTTCATACCTGAGCCTGAAACATCATCAGAACCCAAAGACTCTTCTTTCTCATCAACCTCATCAAACATTGCATTGAGCTCTTCGCTGAACTTCTTGATCTTTGCATCAAGCTCCGGTAGCTCATGTTCCCCGAATTCACGAATCAGCTTCTGTTTCTCTATGATCGCTTGAATCCGCTCGGTGGCTTTGAATATGATCATCTTCGGTTTGAGAGGATTGAAGTGAGACGCATCAGATGCTAAAAAGGACCCACCTTTATAGTTTCTAAACTTGGTACACTCCTTGAAGCTGTGTAGCCTCGCAGTCATTTGCTCTCCACCAAGAACAAGATTCTCTACGTCTTTCCCTGGCTCATCACCATCAAAGCTTATGCTTTGCCATCCATCATCAATGATGACAAACTTGGGACACACGCCACCTTCTTCAAACTCCTTAACACCTGTCCAGATCGTTGCAGGGTCAACAGTCAAGTAGCAAGCATCCCAAGTGCACCACCCAAACTTATCAACGATGTTGGGAAGCTTCTTCTCTTCTAGAAGCTTGAAAGTGTTCATGTGAACACGAAGCGCACTAAAAGACTCTTTCATGAGGTTATAAGGACTGTCACAGATGTGAATGTAGGCAATGGAATTGAAAGATGACTCCTTTACTTGAGTAGAGCCACTCTCTGCTGTGATCAAGACGTTGCCTTTCTCACCAGGGTTAAGTGCAGCTCTGAAAGATCCTTCTATGATCGGTATGATGGCCACGTAGGAGTCGATCTCAGGGATCTTTAGCATCACCCATTGAGTCTCGGCTTGAAGATCCGACCCGGATTTTCCGATCCAAGCCGTTGACCACCACATTTTGAATCGGAAGATGCTGAGGAACTCTCTGTTTTCGAATCTCCCCAAAGAGTTTGTAAGGAGATCGGAAGGCGAGTCTTTGGTGAATCCGAGGAACCCACCTTTGTGAGCGTTGGCTTGAACACGGAGGCGAATCGGGAGAGGAGCATCGGTGGATATGGAGTGAGATGAAAATGGGGTGAAAGTTAGGTTTTTGGGAACATCGAAGAGGATTGGAGAAGAGTCTTTGGCACGAAGAGTCCCTTGGGACAGGTTAAAACAGTTTGGTTGGGATATTGGTTTCGTCTGAGAAACACCAAGAAGAGGTTTGGTTTCGATGACATCGATGATTGATGCCAAGGAATCGTTAAGTGGAGCCATGAGAAAGGAAGAGAACTTGAAAACAGAGGACAACGAAACAGAGGAAGTTAGAAACAGAGGATGCTTGAAGATGAAAATGATATCTTCTGCTGTATATATATACACAAATAAAAGGGTAAACTAGCAAGAAACTGGATAAGAGAAGATCCTGCGAGTTTCCTTTTTCATCTAACTACATTTAATCATACTCAATATTCTTTGTATAACTATGAGATTTTGCTTGGACAAGGAGATGATTTGAATATTAATAAATAGTACGGAGAAATAGAAATTGATATAATTAGGAAAAAACTGATATTATACGATATATAAGACAAGGATCTTCCGTAGTAAGATGTTGATATATAGTAAATTTCGACGACCAAAAGATGGAAATGTTGGGGTTGTTCTTGCAAGGTCCAGAAGCTGCTGAAGAGAAGGAAAGCAAAAGAAAAACTTTTTTTTTGTTCTTAGTGGAGATTATTGTAGTATTTTAGCCAAGAAATTCATCAAATAAAAAATTGTCATATTCACACGTATTTTCTTCATGTGTGCGTCTGCGTGCATGTATGCTACTTGGCAAACTCTGATTTTACATATAGACAAACTCATTCATATAAATAAACTAAAAATAAAGGAATGATATGAATTAACAGTGATCTTAGATCGATCCATGATGATATCTTTAAGGATGCGGTATATCTTTATATGTAAAGTACGTAAATAAGTAATACAAACAATCGTACTATAGATCTAAATATTATGGATATTTAAAGCTTCAAAATCCGCATTTAAAAAAAAAAGTTTGCGGATATATGATTTTTATTTTTTTATCTATTTTGGAAAGTTCAGATACCTTACGAAATTTAGGATGACTATCGGATAAGACCGGATTATTTAGGCAAGTGCAGTCATTGTGTAAGTCATCACACTAAATACGATCAATCAAAATGTAATATTATCACGATTCATGATTTCATGAGATTAGATATGATGTGTTTGATGTAAAAAAAAAAAAAGATATGAAGTGTTTTTTTTTGCTATGAAGATAGACATGAAGTATTTTTGGAAAAAAAATGTGTTAAAAGATAAGTTTCGTACAAATGTAACAAACACATGAAAATTTGTTAAAGACGATAAAAGTAGTGTCTTTCCAAGACTCTCAAAACTTAAATTAGTAAAGCCTTTCAAGTTTCAACCACACATCTCCTAAGTCTGTCATCTCCAAAATTTATGCTAGCTTAACAAACCATGTTGCTGTTGGTATGACTGGCCCTTGCATTTGCATAATGCCGAGAGGGCAAAGGATTTAGGACTTAAGATAACTAACCATAGACGATACGATATCCAGATGACTTTTGTGTTGAAATTTTGAATTAAGGATATATAATTTCTTTATTATATTTTGATATGCACATAGTTTATACTTTAATCAGTGAAAATAGCTTTTATTCATTATTAATAGTATTAATAAGCTACCGGTAACCAAGAGAATAAGATCAAGTGATAACAAAGAGCATGCATGCAAACTACTAAGGTAACGTGCATAGAGTGCTAATTGTACTTAACGGCCACTTCCGTTTTTGATTTAGTGTCGTCGGTTACCAATGCCACCGCCACCACCAACTCCTCCTCCTACACCACCTCCGGCTCCAGCTCCTACACCAACATTTGCTCCGCCTCCAACACTACCACCAACTCCTCCACTGCCTCCTAGACCACCACCAAGTCCTCCTCCTAGACCACCACCGAGACCGCCTCCACCACCTACACCACTTCCACCTCCAACACCTCCTCCAGCACCACTTCCAACAGCACCACCGGCACTACCTCCACTTCCTATTCCACCTCCAGCACCACCACCAACAACACCACCAACACCACCTCCAACGCCTACTCCACTTCCGGCACCACCTCCAACAGCACCACCAACACTACTTCCACCGCCTACTCCACCTCCAACAACGCCTCCAGCACCTCCTCCAACACTACCCCCTCCAGAACCACCGGCACTACCTCCACCGCCAACAGCACCACCAACACTACCTCCACCTCCGACAGAACCACCTGCACCAGCTCCCCCGCCTACACCTCCTCCAACATTACCTCTTCCAGAACCACCCGCACTACCTCCACCTCCAATAACACCACCGATAACACCACCTGCACCAGCTCCACCTCCAACAGAACCACCTGCACCAGCGCCGCTGCCTACACTACCTCCAGCACCACCTCCAACACTACCTCTTCCAGAACCACCCGCACTGCCTCCACCTCCAATAACACCACCAGCACTACCTCCACCTCCGATAACACCTCCTGCACCAGCTCCGCCGCCTACACCACCTCCAACAACGCCTCCAACACCTCCTCCAACACTACCCCCTCCAGAACCACTGGCACTACCTCCACCGCCAACAGCACCACCGACACTTCCTCCACCTCCGACAGAACCACCGGCACCAGCTCCGCCGCCTACACCACCTCCGCCGCCTACACCACCTCCAGCACCTCCTCCAACACTACCTCTTCCAGAACCACCGGCACTACCTCCACCTCCAATAACACCACCAGCACTACCTCCACCTCCGATAACACCACCTGCATCAGCTCCACCTCCAATAACACCACCAGCACTACCTCCACCTCCAACAGAACCACCTCCACCAGCCCCGCTGCCTACACTACCTCCAGCACCACCTCCAACACTACCTCTTCCAGAACCACCCGCACTGCCTCCACCTCCAATAACACCACCAGCACTACCTCCACCTCCGATAACACCACCTGCACCAGCTCCACCTCCAATAACACCACCAGCACTACCTCCACCTCCACCTCCAACAGAACCACCTGCACCAGCTCCGCTGCCTACACCACCTCCAGCACCTCCTCCAACACTACCTCTTCCAGAACCACCAACACTACCTCCACCTCCAATAACACCACCAGCACTACCTCCACCTCCGATAACACCTCCTGCACCAGCTCCACCTCCAGCACCTCCTCCAACACTACCTCTTCCAGAACCACTGGCACTACCTCCACCGCCGACAGAACCACTTGCACCAGCTCCGCCGCCCACATTACCTCCAGCACCTCCTCCAACATTACCTCTTCCAGAACCACCAGCACTACCTCCACCTCCAATAGCACCAGCTCCGCCCCCTACCCCTACACCACCTCCAACAACGCCTCCAGCACCTCCTCTAACACTACCTCTTCCAGAACCGCCAGCACTACCTCCACCGCCGACAACACCACCGACACTACCTCCACCTCCGACAGAACCACCTGCACCAGCTCCGCCGCCTACACCTCCTCCAAAACTACCTCTTCCAGAACCACCAGCACTACCTCCACCTCCAATAACACCACCTGCACCAGCTCCGCTGCCTACACCACCTCCAACAGCGCCTCCAACACTACCCCCTGCAGAACCACCGACACTACCTCCACCGCCAACAGCACCACCGACACTTCCTCCACCTCCAACAGAACCACCTGCACCAGCGCCGCCGCCTACACCACCTCCAGCCCCTCCTCCAACACTACCTCTTCCAGAACCACCGGCACTACCTCCACCTCCGATAACACCACCTGCACCAGTTCCGCCGCCTACACCACCTCCAACAACGCCTCCAGTACCTCCTCCGACACTACCACCAGCACTACCACCACCACGACCACGACCTCCTCCTCCGATTTTTCCACCACCACGGCTTCCTCCACCAACACTGCCACCTCCACCAACTCCTCCTCCGACTCCTACACCTCCACCAGCTTGTCCACCACCTCCTCCTCCTCCACCAATACTGCCACTTCCACCTCCTCCAACGCCACCACTTCCACCACCACGACCTTTTCCACCACGACGTCCACCTCCACTACCACCTCCACCTCCTCCGGCTCCTGCACCACCTCCAATGCCACCGCCAGCTCCTCCTCCGGCTCCAATACCGCCACCTACACCTCCTCCAGTACCACCACCTATACCTCCTCCTCCGCCAACTCCACCTCCAACTCCAATGCCACCACTAGCACCGCCTCCTGCTCCTGCACCACCTCCTACACCTCCACCTCCACTAGCACCAGAACCAGCACCGATTCTTTTACTTTTGTGATGTCGTCTTTTGCCATGGTGATGACCATTTGTATCATATAATTGTCCCAACACTTGACTCGACATTAGTAACATTATCACACACGCCACTACCCAACCCCTTCTCACAAACGTCCCCATTCTCTTTCCCTCTTAATATACACACAAACTCACTCAAAAGATCAAAGATAGATTCCAAAACAATATTAGAAGTTCGATTAGTAGTAGCTATTGATAACATACCTCTGCGGCAAGCCCTATTTATACCCAAAACTCCATCAACAAACACACATACACGCGTCCTCTAATCACAGGCTTATGAAAAAGATGAAAATCCCACTCAAGGCTCTTAAATCTCGAAAACGCGTCCAAACTCCTTGGTCGACATGAATACGCAAGATAGTCTTCTATAAGCACTAACATATTACTTAAAGCTGGAATGATGATCACTAATAAGAAAACTCATGCACCTCGTTGCTCTATTCATATGTAACAGTGGTTTTTAGTTAGTGGAATATTATACGTGCCTCTTTTCACCTCTCGCCAGAACGCACTTCCATAAACCATTATGCTATTTTTAGTGCCGTTTTTGGATACTTATCTCTTAATTACAAGGTCAAAAAGATTACTGTTAATTAATTACAACGCGTGGCACAAAGGTTTCACATTACAATATTCGTTTTCATCAGAGATATTTGATTTAACCCATATTAGTATTACAAATAATGATCAGTCGATTGAATATAACAATTTGTAGCCATAATATGCCACCATTCTTTTGTACTGGTTACACCATGTTAAACTTAAAAAAGATATTGATTATTATTTAACGCAAAAATGGTTTTGCGATCAAGATAAAGAAGAAGAAAAGAAACGGTTTAGAGCTTAACTGAATAAAAAAGACTTTCTGTGCTACGAATTGTTGATCTACAGGTGTATATTTTTTTTTGGTATGATCTACAGATGTATATTTTGTTACAGTTTATGTCAAATGATGTGGAAACTCAACAGCTCAGGCCATATGTGTGTGTTTGGCGTCGAGTGGCACTCCGGTTTGCAGCAATCCTTCTTCATGCATTGCAAACTCAAGCACAACCACAAAATGTTTAAAGTAAAACCTTTTCAATATCAGTGCATGGCATAATGTTCTTTAACAACAACAAAATATCAGTACTATGATGATTTTTAGCTTTAAAAATTAAATAACAAAAATCATTATATTGTGATGGTTATAATTTGTTCTGGCCATATATTCCACTCACTTCGTGCATTTCATTCTTCCTCGTCCTATTATTCCACTAATGGTAACCAGTTGGAGATATTGCTGCCAAAATAGTAAGCGCATCCCAGAGAATATCTATCTTCATGAGGGCGCCAGTGTTTATTTTATCTAGAATCTTCTCTGCTCCATCTAAGTGTTGCCAACAAGCTTGAGATCATTCATTTTGTCAAAAATGGTCTTTCCCTTTGCTTCCTTGAGTTCCACGCAGTAATAATTTCAAGTAGAACTTGTTCTTGGCACCTCTAAGCCTTTAGTCTTTTGAATTAGATAACAACAATGGTCTAATCAGTAAATTTGATTGTTCATTTGCAGTAATTATACAACATCTTTACATTCTTTAACAGGTTTCAGAGACTCCATTGCCATATGTACCCATATCATCCATCATATCCAGAAGCCAAATTTGATCCTCATACGACCTTAAAAGGCTTAAATAAACAATAACCAACTTCCTTCTAGAAAATATAAATCGAAGGCAAACATGAGTCTAAAAAATTGCTTCAAAATGCAAAGTTTTACAGAAGATTAATTTATCAGTAAACAGAGTCATACGCTTCAAGGGCAAATCTTGCTAAGCAAACCTTCCTTCTCTTCGTCTACTTCGATCCCGTGTTCTTCCAACCTCTTTCGCATATCAGGACAAGCTTTCTCTGCGGCTACGTAAGTCTTTAGAAGAAGAGTGTAAGTTTGAGAATCTAGAGGACTCCATTTCGTCAAGTTTTTGCAGAATCCTTCTGCTCCATCAACGTCTTTGGATTTCTCAAAGTGGAACAAGAACGAACATATCAACTCTGAGCTCCAAGCCCACTTCTTGTCAAGATCCGTAACAGCAGCTTCGAAATGCTTCAGAGCCAGATCCGCCTTATCGTTCTTCAACAGATGCATCATCAAAATCTGCCTAGCCTTTGAGAACTGACCTTTACACTTTTTCATGGCGCCATTCAAAACCGCCTCAGCTTCTTCGTACATGTTCTGCTTCAGGTAACTGACGATCATCACATTAGCCATCCTCATATCGTAAGTCCAGCACGTTGATTCCCACTCTGTAAACACCTTCTTGATTCCATCAACGTCATTGAGCCTACTCAGCGCTTGGATCATTGCAAGAGAGCTCGAATTGTTGACTTTAGGGTGACGCTTCTTTAGTAACTCCCAAACTCGATAAACCTCAGAAGCATTCGAAATCCCAGCATACAAGCTAATGAGGAAATGATAAGAATCACGCTCGCGAGGATTCAACTTCACCTCCATAGATTTCAACGCTGCTTCTGCTTTACCGTAGAGACCAGCTTTAGTATATATCGCTGCAAGATTAGCAAACGTATCCCATGAGGAACGGCTTTCATCGTCTGCTTTCATTTCCTCTATAACTTTCTCTACACCATCTAAGTCATTCAGATTCCCACAGCTTTGTATCCACATGGAGTAAGTGATAGCACAAGGAGAGATATCTTTCTCTTTCATTGCAACAACCAAAGCAGGTACCTTCTCTGGTTGACCTAGCCGCAAGTACATGGCCATCAGGTTGTTAAACGGCAGAGAGTTAGTCACGAGATTGAGCTCAACCATTTGATCGAAATGTGACTTTGCCTTCTCTTCCTCACGTTCCACGCAGTAGCAGTTCAAGAGCGATCCGTAGCTCGATTGGTTCTTGGTGGAAGGATCTAGATTGTTGAAGTAGCTCTCAGCTGCCTCTAAGCCTTTAGTCTTTGCGATAAGATCCATTCGAATTGCGTGATCACTGCTAGAGAAAACGATCTCCTTTTTTTCCATCCACTCAAAGACCTACACGATTGTATGAAACAATGCCAAGAAACTCAATTTCATCCAGAGAAGCATTTCTGATACTCATGAGCTCTTAAAGGCTTAAATGATGATCAACTTTTTTTCCTTTTTCCCTAAAATGAAATACACTAACCAAATCTGGAGAAACGAAATCGATCACATGAAACTTCTATCTAGATACCAAATTTGATCATTTGATTCACTGATTTCATCATTGAAAAATCCACTAGTGAAGAGTTAAATCAGCGATTGACAAACCTCGAGGGCGATTTGAGGTTGACGAAGCTTGCGGAGGTCCTTGGCGTATCGGATAAGATCGTGTTTTTCGACGGCGGTACCTTCCTTGACGAATTGATTCAGCGTTTTTTCCAATTTTTCTCCCCTCGTCGTGCCGAGGCTTGAGAGTTTCTTGTAAACCGAGTGATGCTTTTTCGCCGTCTTCGGAACAGAAGCAGCAGCAGCCTCGCCGCCAATCGCCGCCGGAGCGGCGGCTGCGAGTGTTGCACAGAACCTCCTCGCGAGGCGTGAAACCGAATACAGCATCACAGATTGGTTACGGATGTTGAATTTTTCTCGGTGGTTTCACAGAAATGACAAAATCACTCTCTCACTCAAAGTCGGAATCTAGAAATACGACGGCTAAGATTTTGCAAGGGTTTTAACTTAAAAATGGAAGTTTGTGCCGTTTTTTTATAACTAAAACGGCGTGTAGTTCAATGTTGTAGCCGTGTTTGTTTATATGGCCATTACCGGAGCAAAAACTTGTAAGGCCAGAAAATGGCTATCCTTCTCCATGCTTCTCCTCCTCCTCCGATGACTATCGTCTTCTCCAACTCATCTTATTCGCGGTTAAACCTACGAAGTCACGATTTCAGGCGGCGTGTTCGTTGCCGTATCTCTGATTCCTCAGAGGTGGTTTCGATTTTGAGTTCTCAACCAGTTTGTATGTACACGGACGCGCCTACTGATCCGTCTGTGGTTTTCAATTCGATTTCTCAGGTAAAATTAGTTGATGGTGCTTCGAAGTTGGAGTACAAGCCAGGGGTTCTCGACGATTTCTTCATGCGTTCGTTCCGGAACAAACTGATAGAGGTGAGTTGCTGAAAATGGGATTGTTTGGGTTTCTTTATGATTTTAATTATTTTAATTTTTTATCAAAAGGATTTAGTCTTTCGATTGGAGTGGTATCAGATTTGAATTAGGCTAATGTTCATGATCATGTTCAATTCAAGTATGTGTAACAGGAAGTCGGGTCGGATTCAGAGAAACCCGGGTACACTGGGCTTATTGAGCTGGTGAAGCTTCTCATGCTGAAGAATCGAACTAGGTCGGCGACAAGTGATGCAGCGGTACAGAATTTCTCCTGTTCTAGTCGCTTCTTCTTCTTCTTGAATTTGTTGTTTTGAGAAGCCATTTTCATATTAGTAGCTGAAATTCTGAGTTTTTTTGTGGATGCAGGTGCGAATACTAAAATCGTTGTTTCCTCCACTCATTTTAGAGCTTTATAAGCTTCTTATTTCTCCTTTAGCACAAGGCAAAATAGCTGCGTTGATGGTTGGTGAGTTCTGTTGAATCAGGAAGGCTTTTGACTTATGCGAAATCAACTAGCTAAACGGTTTTTCTTGTGTTTATTTCCGAATGAAGCAAGAGTTACAGTACTTACATGTCAATGGCTCATGGGACCTTGCAAAGTAAATGTTATTGATCTTCCAAATGGAGAATCTTGGGATAGCGGGGTAATGATCGTTACTGAAACTTTGCATCTCTTTTCGATATGATTCTTTCTGTTTTTTTTTTTTAACAAAGAGAAGAAATGTTGGAATGAAATTAGGTTTTCGTGGAGAAATGTCAGTATCTAGAAGAGAGCAAATGTGTGGGAGTATGCATCAATACTTGTAAACTACCAACTCAGGTATTCTTCCGCAGTTCAACTATATCAACCAACTCTTTTAGTCTTAGTATCTACATGAATTTGAGGACGTTGGTGTGGTATAGTGGCAAGGTTTCAAGCTTTACATGTTCTTTGGTCAAAATCCTTTTGATTTTTTTTTTCAGACATTCTTTAAAGACTACATGGGAGTTCCTTTGTTGATGGAACCAAACTTCAAAGATTATAGTTGCCAGGTAATGTCTTGCTTGCCCCTTGCCCCTTGCCTAATAACAGACATGACGACACTCTGAAACTATTAGGAATCTTACGTATCTGGCACTTGAAGATGAGACCCATTGGTCGATCTAATCAGTTCAGATCTAAAAAAAGAAAGGATTGTCCCAAATGAGGATTAAAAGTCTGCGAATTAGTTAAATATATAAGTTCATGGATATATTTCACTTACCATGTTGGGTTTTTCGAATGTTTCTTGTCCAGTTAATAACCTTCTTTGATTTCTTTCTGATTTTATCTTTCTTGTGTGTGTATGTATGTACCAAACACGATAGTTTAAATTTGGGGTAGCTCCACCGGAGGACGATGGCAATGTTAATGAGCCGTGTCTTGAGGCATGCTCAATCGCTGGCCGCCGGAAAATAGCTTCCGGAGAGTGTCCTATGGCGTGAATCAGATCGTGAATCTGTCTACCAACAAATGAGGAAGCTTTCTGAGCTGATGAAGCTTTGATGGCAAACAAAACAGAGACACTGTTTATTAAACTGGAACTTTGTCTGAATCGATTGTTGTTTATGAATATTAATATGTACATACATGCACCGAGGTGAATATTGTTTTATGAATATTTATGCCAATAAAACTTGTTTTTTTTTGTGTTGAAAACTAATCGGCTCATTACAGAGATGTAAAGTTCTAAAGAAGTTGAAAATCACTTGTTTTTATTCTCTGCCAACTAATTGAAATTCACTTACAAGTTGGAAGTTAACATGAAGACCTTTTAACATAAAAATAAGTTGCAATTCAACATTGTGTGTTTAATTTTTTTTTTTAATTACATTAAGAATGTTGGCGTTGGAATGGTCAAACATTCTAAGCATATCTCAAGATCCCCAATGTAAGGCTAAGGCCTTTTTCAGATAATCACTTCTTTTTTGGACGACTGAGACTGCTTTGTGGGGCTTTGTTGATTTTTTTTTTCTCCTTTTAAGAACAACTTTCAATAATCCTTATATATAGAATCGAATAGAGTATAGTCATTTTACTGTTATGTCGTTTGTAAATTATTTAATAAGAAGTCTGAATAAATATGCCTTCTTAAACGCAAACCAATGAGTTTTTTCGGTTTTATAATCAGTTTGGTTTTAATTTTTAACGGATAGAAGAGGAGGTAGTATACCGGCTGTGAATGAACAAGAGAAGTCGGTTTGCGAGTAAATACTGAGAGTGACGGTTTTCTATTTTTTTCTACCGTTAATGTTCGTTTCTGTTAACCGGCGCATTTTACCGTGGACATATCCGCTCAAGTGCGCCGCACGCTTCTCTTCTTTTTGTCGCGCATTCAAAAACCGAAACGATCAGAAGAGAATATTAAATAAACATTTGGAGTAAAGAATAAAAAAATATTAATTTCTGAAAAAGAGAAAAAAAGAAGAGAGAGAGAGAGAGAGAGAGAGAAGGAAGGAGCTTCTACAGTACTAAAAGCGGAGTGAAGCCGAAGATATCTCCGCCAACGGAAAATTGTATTAGAGCTGAAATCGTTGGCGGCGATGGCGGATTCTCTGGCTTGGGTATTCGGAGCTCCGTTTATTGCCTCAAATATATCTCCCTTCTCGGATCCACCATCGAAAACCCCTGGAGAGGCCCGTCGGGTTTAAGCTCTCTACGTTTCGTTTCTTCCTTGGATTTTGTCTTCCGCTGCGAGTTTCTGTTCTCGCGGCGAGTTTCGTGTCGATTACAGCAGATCTGAGGGTTTTCAAGCCAAGAGAAACTGTCGGTGATGTCGATTTCCTCACTCGCGAGCTCTGCTGGTAATTCACGCCTATCAATCTATTGATTTCAAATTTTAAGGAGTTAGTCTATGTTATGAAATCAGAGGAAAAAAGTAGTGAATATCTTGGATTTCTATTTTTGTCTGGTACGGGATGAGAAGAATTTAGCCTATGGGACCTATTGATATCTAGTTACTTTGTTTCTTTCTCTGTTAGGTCACTGATATAAATTTGGAATGTAGTATGCGTTTACACTGATCGTGCTCAAGATTTAGGTGTATAGTTTCTAAATACAGTACACACGCTCTATCTTAGGTTACCTCTATCTCAGTGTATCTAGTGGTATATCAATTACAGGTTCGCAAAGAGATGTGCTGATAACGGTCTTGAGAGCGTTGGTTTCTGTATACTGTGTGGTTTATGTCGTCAGTGATCAAGTAGATGATGCTCTATATGAAGGACTGCCGATATCACCAACTTTGTCACCTTCGAATTCACCAGCTATCCCTGATCTTCCCCTGCCAGCTGAATTTCCGCAGTTTCATAGAAAACATTTGGCACCTGGACATCCTCCCCGCTATAGCCGATTTGTTGCTTCTGTACATCCCCCTACCAGCTCGCGTTTCTCCAAACCATCTATGAAAAGGAATGCACAGTCTCCTGGAGCCGGCTTGGCTGATATTTCTCCAACGCAATCTAGTAGTGGTGCCCTTCCTGATGACTTGACTCAGCCACCTTTGTCTCCCTCCGTTTCAAGTAAGATGTTCATCCACTCTCATGTTTGTCTTTGATAATATCTTAGGAGTAATAACATGCGAGTTCAATACTCATGTGTTTACTTTTCTTTCTTACAGATTGTTGCAAACAAGATATGGTGCAGAAACGAAAAAGTATTGGTTGCCACTGCGTGTATCCTATAAAGCTGGATATCCTTCTCATGAATGTTTCAGATGCTCCTAGTTGGAACTTGTTCCTGACTGAATTTGCTACCCAGCTTGGTCTCTTACCTCACCAAATCGAGCTGATCAATTTCTATATGCTAAGCTTATCAAGGATGAACATTTCAATGGATATCATACCTCATTCTGGAATTAGTTTTTCAGCCAGTCAGGCAGCGGCAATCAACTCTACGCTTATCAGCCACAAGATTCAGTTCAGCAATACTTTGGTGGGAGATTACAAACTTCTAAACCTTACCTGGTTTGAGGCCCCTGCACCTACTCAAGGTAAACTACTTTTCTACAACTGTATCAGCGAAAAAAATCAATTGCCCCATCAATTCTGTTCACATCCGTTGTCAAGGTTTCATCACACTCAAGTGTAGCATATTTTTATTTCTGAAAGTAGACTGATCTAGTTTCGTTTGTTAACAACGTTGCCAGTTGCATCGGCCTTCTCACTACTTCTCTGTAGTAATCGCCATGAGTCCTTACATTTACATTAAGATAGGTTTAATCTGTTTTCAGCGCCTCTAGTGGCTTCTTCACCTGAAAAGGTACCATCACAAGGATCCCCAGCAACTACGTCAGTGAGTTCTCCCGGAAAAAGAAGGCACCCCAATCTCATTCTTATCTTTGCTGTAGCCGCTGGTGTGCTAATCATGGCCATAATCTCTGTGCTTATTATTTGTTCCTGCGCACTCCGAGAAGAAAAATCGCCTGATCCTCATAAAGATGCTGGTATGCTCTTCTTCTCATTACGAAGTTTAAACCCCTTTTATGTTAGGTAGATTTCAGTTAGAAATGCATGAAGTAAAATGCACGTAAACCTCTCCCATTTGATAGTTAGCATGTGTAGAGAAGATATAAAGTTTCCACAGGCCGTGTCAGTGAAGAAGATGATTCTTAGATGAGGAATGATTGTTGTCAGTGTTACCAGTGTGATTTATATTACTTTCTTAAAATCTCGCAATTAGTTTGATGTTCTTCTTCTTTCAGTAAAACCGAGGAACCTGGAAGCTGGTTCGGTAGGGGGGTCTCTTCCCCGTCCAGCAAGTACACGTTTTCTGTCATACGAAGAACTCAAGGAGGCAACTAGCAATTTCGAATCTTCCAGCATTCTAGGGGAAGGTGGGTTCGGCAAGGTTTACAGGGGCATCTTAGCCGATGGTACCGCTGTAGCAATTAAGAAGCTAACATGTGGAGGACCACAAGGCGACAGAGAATTCCAGGTGGAGATTGATATGCTAAGCCGTCTTCATCATCGTAACCTTGTAAAACTCGTGGGTTACTATAGCAGTCGAGATTCTTCTCAGCACCTACTTTGTTATGAGCTTGTTCCAAATGGCAGCCTCGAGGCTTGGCTCCATGGTAATAAACTAATAATATATACTCTTCACTTCCCTTGCAGTAGTATTATCGTATACTCTCACGGAATTGAGTGATTTATTTAAAATCATTATGCTTCAGGGCCTCTTGGATTGAACTGTCCTCTTAGTTGGGACACGAGAATGAAGATTGCACTTGATGCTGCAAGAGGCTTAGCTTACCTTCACGAAGACTCGCAACCATCGGTGATACACAGAGACTTTAAAGCCTCTAATATACTCCTTGAGAATAACTTCAACGCCAAAGTTGCAGACTTTGGCCTAGCCAAACAAGCTCCTGAAGGCAGGGGTAATCACTTATCCACCCGTGTTATGGGCACATTTGGGTGAGTCTTCTTCATCTTTCTTGGAATCTTTTGGTTCTGTTTCGCCTAACAAAGACGAATCCGAATACATTTTCTCTTTGTTCCTTCAGGTATGTAGCTCCTGAGTATGCAATGACGGGACACTTACTCGTAAAGAGTGATGTTTATAGTTACGGCGTTGTACTTCTCGAGTTGTTAACTGGTAGAAAACCTGTGGATATGTCACAACCTTCAGGCCAAGAAAACCTCGTCACTTGGGTAATGTCTCATCATCTGCATTTTCTTCATTGTCCAACCAAAATCTCAACTTTTGAAGTCTTGAATGTATATATTGCAGACGAGGCCAGTTCTTAGAGACAAAGACCGGTTAGAAGAACTAGCTGATTCAAGACTGGAAGGGAAATACCCAAAAGAAGATTTCATAAGAGTGTGCACAATCGCTGCAGCTTGTGTTGCACCTGAAGCTAGCCAGAGACCAACGATGGGTGAAGTTGTTCAGTCACTTAAAATGGTTCAGCGAGTCGTTGAGTATCAAGATCCGGTTTTAAACACTTGTGATAAAGCTAGACCGAACCGGAGACAGTCATCAGCTACGTTCGAGTCGGAAGTAACCTCTTCTATGTTCTCTTCCGGTCCTTATTCTGGTCTAAGTGCCTTTGATCATGAAAATATTACACGAACAACGGTCTTCTCTGAAGATCTTCATGAAGGCCGGTGAAGAAACAACCATCGCTTTCTTCTTCTTCTTCTTCCTAATCTCCACTTATTTTGAGTTTTTTTGTTTTTCTCCCACTTAAGGTGAGGAAATTTCGGGGAGAGAAGCTTTGAGTTTGGGACATTTTATTACAGCTCTCTCTGGAGTTTTGGATATTGTGTTCTCCTTTTCCGGAGAATAAAATTTTGTACATATCTCCTATTTATTTCTTTATATGAAATCAATATTTACCATAATCATAGATTCATAGATACTATTTCATTTCTGTTCTGTAATCTGATTCGTTAGATCGCATAAATGCTAACTTTAAGACGTTTATGGGCTACTAATTTGGTAAGGCCCATAACAAGAAAACCTCGTCACTTGGGTAGAAAAAATAAGGAAATATATATAATATTCACACGTATAAGCACTGTTTAATCACACGTGTGGGGTTCCTTGTATAGTTGTATTTGTATAGTTCCTTCTAGTCCACACTCTCCTCCGTTCGTTCCGATTGTAAAAAAGCAGAGAGTTTGAGTGGGAGATAAGCGGACGAGCTCGAATTTCCATCAATGGTGACGGATTATAGCGACTCCTCTGGGAAAATCGGAGTCAGATTTACCTTTCAATCTCCTCTTTTTTTTTTTTTCCTTAGTTTCATCGTTTTTTGTTTGTTTGTTCTTCTATCTGATTTCGTTCGTTTTCGCATGATCATTCTCACTTTTTCATTTGATTCATCGTGGAATCCGTCTGGTTTTATCATATTATGCTTGCTCTCTCGGTTTTTGTTTCTGTATTTCCTCCTAAATCAAGCTATCGTCAATAGTTACTGTTTGTTGAGAGTCTTTTGTTTACTGTTGGAGCTGATGGAGCTTAAGGATTAGTGTTTTTGTTCTGTTTTTGATGTAATTATTGGAGAATTGTTGACGTACTACACCTTCTTTTTTTTTTCTAGCTATTTTGCCCCTTTTTAACACTCAATTATGTGTAATGAGAGCTGATTATGAATCAAACTATGGAATTGTTCTCTTTTTTCTTTGTTGATCTGTGTTTTGAATGTTTTTACATTTGTTGGACTTCGAAATTGAAGTCTCATGTAGATAACGATGGTGATGACGATGCTGGTAGTCTCGAGGGTTTGGAGGAAAAGTTGAATCAGCTTAAAATGAAAATCCAAGGAGAGAGAGTTAGGTCTGTTAAAGTAAGAGATTTATTTCTTGTTGCTGTTTCTATACATGATGATGTTCTTAATTCATTTATGAATGTTAAATCATTTATGTATATCCATTTGGAACACACTAAAATTGCAGGAGAAATTCGAGAATAACAGAAAGAAAGTGGATGTTCATGTTTCATCAGCTGCATCAAGCCGGGCCAACGCAGGGGATGGTGAAAGTAGCAATATGTTTTCTTCGAGAATGGAGAACCCACTCTGCAAGTTAAATGGTATTCCTCAAGGCGTGGCAGAGAGGGACTATATTCCTACTAAGGATGTTATATCAGCAAGTGTCAAGCTTCCGAGTGCTGAGAGAATACCGCCATACACTACCTGGATATTCTTGGACAGGTTCTTTATCCATTCTCGTCTGTAACTACCACATAGTTTTGAGTGCAACTGTGGCTGTACGAGTTTCAAAATGATGTCCTCGCTGAAGTTGAATTAGTATTCTCCATTTGTCTATCTCTTAACAATGCAGGAATCAAAGAATGGTTGAAGATCAGTCTGTGGTTGGTCGGAGACAAATCTACTATGATCAACATGGTGGTGAGACACTAATATGCAGCGATAGTGAGGAAGATCCAGAACCTGAGGAAGAAAAACGTGAATATTCCGAGGGTGAAGACTGCGTCATATGGTTAGTTATGCAGACAGGGTGAATCATGGACTGTTTATATGAACTTATTAATCTATTAATCACATTTATTTATGCTAAAGAAAGATAATATCTATCATGTTCATGTCAACTTTTATCCTGTAATGACTCTTTATTAGCAGTAGGTTTGAAGTAACCTGGTTTGAGTTGAATTGGCAGGTTGATTGGGCAGGAGTATGGCATGGGTGAGGAAGTTCAGGATGCTCTCTGCCCGTTCCTCAGCTTAGACACTTCAGACATTCTGGTTGGTTTATCTAAAGATGTGTTTCTGGTCTTCCTATTCTTCTTCCCGAATGGTGTTTGACATTCCTTTCTGCTGCAGGAAAGATACAATGAGCTCAAGTTGAAGAATGACCAGAATGTTGAGAACTTCTCTGATGGATTCAAGCTGGGAATATATCAGGAAAAAGGCCTTGCTGCTGCTCTAGATTCTTTTGATAATCTTTTTTGCCGTCGCTGCCTGGTACTTGGATCATTCTTTTGTGACAGAGATATCATGTACTACTTGATTTTTGTTAATCATGCTTATCCTTCTTTTGTTGTTCTAACAGGTATTTGACTGTCGTCTGCATGGATGTTCTCAGCCTTTGATTAGTGCTGTAAGCTTGAACAAGTCCTTACTTTCTTTTTTTTGTATTGCCTTAGTTTCAGTGAATAACATAACCAGAGGACTTTGATTGACAGAGTGAAAAACAGCCTTATTGGACTGATTATGAAGCTGAAAAGAAACCCTGCAGCAAACATTGTTATCTCCAGGTCTATCTCTCTACGTCTCTTTACACTCTCATAGACTCGCTTATATTTGTAGCAAAGCATGATATGTTTTCAGTGTAGTGTATCCCCTCAATCAACTATATTCAGAGAGTGAGATCATGAATTCGTGTCATATTTATAGCCTGAAGTAGGTTGTGGTTAGGCATGTATGCGTCTGCTAGAGGAGTGTGCTTTCACCATAGTTGCACAGTACGAGTGCATAGTCTTGTATGAGTTTCTGTTGGAACGGAGGTTAAATCACCATCATTTTTATGTTGATTGTATAGCTTAAGACGGCCAGAGAAGTACCAGGAGCAAGTAGTAGTTTGGCATCCAAAACGGAAGAGAAAGCTTCGGAAGAGGAATGCAGCAAAGCTGTCTCCTCTGATGACCATCATGATGCTGGTGGTAGAGTTAATTTGCAAGTTGAAAAAACTAGTACTGCTTCCAAGAGTTTAGAGTCATCCTCTGGTGTAGAACAAGACCATGAAAGTAGGGGAAAGCGTGAGGCTCGGCATCTCGAAGACTCTAATTTATCAAACAAGAAACAGAAGACTGCAGCCTCAGATACAAAAGTGTCATTTGTTAATCCTATCCCTAGCTTAGATCAAGCATTGGATAGCATAAAGGATGATCAAGGTGGAACACGTGATGCAAATGAAGCAAATAGAGACTTAGGAGCTGATCTAATGGAAGTGGCTGAGGCTATTCCAGAAAATTCAGTCCATGATGGTGGTTCCTCAGTTTGTCAGCCAGAGCATGGTGTTGGAAATGGGGCAATAATTGTTGGAGAAATGTCGGAGACTAGTCAACAATCCACAGAGTGGAAGCCTATTGAGAAGGATCTTTACTTGAAGGGAGTGGAGATCTTTGGGAGAAACAGGTAAACTGGATCTTTGTAAATTATTGCCTTCAAAACACAAAACATGTATTTACGTCTAGTGTGTTTGTCCATGCTGTTTCAGCTGTCTTATTGCAAGAAACTTGCTTTCTGGCTTGAAGACATGCCTAGATGTGGCCACTTACATGCGTGAAAACGAAGTTTCGGTTATTCGAAGATCTAGCACCCCAAATTTGTTGGATGATGGCAGGACTGACCCAGGCAATGAGGTAAGCTTTTGATCTTCCTCTGCGTTCCTTTTTTCTTGCCAACTTTTCTATAGTCTCTTCTCTCTACCACTTTGGACATTGGTGTATAGAAAATTTGTTTGCCAGACTAATAGGGTTAGAGATCGAATCCACACTCACAAAAAAAGAAGTTCTGATCTGGAATAGCCAATTTCCCCTGAAACTACATTTGGCAAGAGAAAACGATAATTAACTATAAGTTGGTTATTTTGTTTGCAAAGTTCCCTATTTATCATGCGATGTCTGTCAGAATCATATGGCTCTCTTGTTATTACTTGACTTGACAGGATGATGAGGTGCCTCCAAGAACAAGATGGTTCCGTAGAAAAGGCAAAACCCGGAAGCTGAAATACTCTACAAAGTCTGCTGGTCATCCATCTGTCTGGAAAAGAATAGCCGGTGGCAAAAACCAGTCCTGTAAGCAATACACGCCGTGTGGATGCATATCAATGTGTGGAAAGGACTGCCCTTGTCTAACTAATGAAACTTGCTGCGAGAAATATTGCGGGTATGCAAACAAATTAACGTAAAATGAAGCAATCTAGTATCTTCCTTAACCCGTCTGGTTGGTTTAAATTCAGGTGCTCAAAAAGTTGCAAAAATCGTTTCCGGGGATGTCATTGTGCAAAGAGTCAATGCAGAAGCAGGCAGTGTCCCTGCTTTGCTGCTGGCCGAGAATGCGATCCAGATGTTTGCAGAAATTGCTGGGTTAGGTAGTCCGTTTAAATCCAAATCTCTTGATGTGCCATACACAAATCAAAGTCCATTATTTGATGACTAAATTTAAAAGACTTGCTCATTTGCTCAGTTGTGGAGATGGTTCTCTTGGCGAAGCACCAAGACGCGGAGAAGGCCAATGCGGAAACATGAGACTTCTCCTGAGGCAACAACAGAGGGTATAATGTCGTCATTAAATCACGTATTTACAAAGGAAATTTGCTTTCATTGCTGACAAATCTACTTTCCTGTGTGTGTTACTTACCAGATCCTCTTGGGGAAGTCTGACATTGCTGGGTGGGGTGCTTTCCTAAAGGTAAGCATGTGAATGTCTCTTCCTATATAACTGATGTTTCATAGCTCTTCTCTCTCTATCTGTAAGTAATCTGAGATCTTCATCTGATCATCAATCAGAACTCGGTCAGCAAAAATGAGTATCTCGGAGAATACACTGGCGAGTTGATCTCACACCGTGAGGCGGATAAGCGTGGGAAAATATATGACAGAGCAAACTCTTCCTTCCTTTTCGACTTGAATGATCAGGTGACT